TTCGTGGCCAGCGGATGTCCCTTGGACATCCCTAGTATGTACGTTGTCCCGACAAAGGACATCCCTGGGATGTCCTAGTATAAAATCAGGGACGTCCCTGGAAAGTTCCTAGGATGTACTGGTGTTGTAAGGGTTATAACCCCTTCCGTGTGCCCCAAGAGATAAGAAAAAGAGGTAATAATTTCATTCTGCTGAGGATTTTTCACCATTCCCATTTTTTTCCCAAGCTTCATAGTGGATGTTATTCGAGCGATGGTAGTCGGAAAGTATGTTACAAGGTTTACATTAAAAATGTTTATGATTGGCCACGACAAAAATAGCTATGGCAAATGCACCAAAACTAATGCGTTTTTGTGGAGAACCATGTTCAGTGGAGTCGCATGATTGATTGCAGAGCACCAGCGAGTTGCAGCCATCACAACTTATTTTTCAGGGAACCGAGTATACATACACACCAAACTGAATGATATGATACATTTCTTGTTGTTCGATAGATATTAAATGGAATATTATGCCCACAGGGAGGAAAATTACGTCCCGGCGAAATGCTAGAGCCAAAGGTGAGATTTGTGTTAGAAGACACAAAACTGACCTTGGGTGGGAACGACAATTTAACCGAATGGTTTTCAAATTTTAATTTCGCTTCTTATTATTTTTGTTACTTTCATTTATTTAGTTTATTTTTTTTATTTAAAGATGAAGCTAGGAAAACGTCCGGGAGTATTGGATGATAAACAGGTTAGCGCGCGGCCATATTTGGATCTCGAGTTTTTCGAATTTAGAAACGTCAATAATATATTTAAACAATATATGTTTGTGTCTAACTTAGATACAGAATAGAAGGATTTTATTTATGTCGTTTTTCTGAAAACCTGTTTTAATTTTATGTATAGATTAGATACATGATTAATTTATTTGTTTTATTTTTTGTTTCTTTTCGGGACTTGCTGGAGATTACTCATTTTCTTACTACTTTTATTATATCAAATCATCTAATTCTCCTAATAGCATTACTTGATAATTATTACATTTCATATTGTTGAGTATATCTTCAGCATATCCATTTTTTGTTTTTTTTTATTTAAAGTGCTAATAGAGTGTTTTGCTAGAAATTGGCTCGAATAATAAAATAGAATTTAGAATAGTGAGATATACGGCAAATATATGTACATTTGTTAGTGTATATACTCGCAAACAGATAAATAAAAAACGCTTGCTTTACTCAACTTAAAAATTAACAATGTGAAGCGCTTCGAATAAAAACAAGGAATGTAAATAATGATTAACCCTAACTTGAATAAGCTCCATGCTTCAATACAATCACATCAACTATAACATGAACAAGATGGATGAAAATTGGTGGAATTATCACAGTCACTGTTCCATCCAAAACACTCGACAATTTATTTTCTTCAAAACTGTTTGTCGCTGATATAAAGATTATTCATCTCAAGAACGTTAGGTGAATCAAGTAACGTAAGTATCTCCTTCAACCATTAAGCATTTCCCGCTAGATATAACGTACATTTGAAATTTTGGTGACGGAACATTTGAAATTTTGGTGGCGGGACATCATTCACCATTTCATTCGAGAGAAAAAAATGCGCATCCTGAAGATCCTGATCAGAATAATGGAGCGAAACTATTGAATTATGCTATTGTCAACGGCCCTTGGTAGGCGTACGAAGTTTCTATTAATCTTGACGTTTTGAAGTAGGTCACAGTCACGTTAGAAGATTCCGTTCATACAAACACCGATATAGTACCAGTACGTCCCCAAAACGTATTGAGAACGTCCAGCCAATACATTTTGAACGTACAAGGGACGTCCAGATTAGGACCGTAGACGTACTAGGTACGTACTGGGGACATCCAGATTCCGCGCATTTGTAATCCCCCAGTACGCCCATTCAGGACAATGAATACCTGAATTAACGTACATTCGCTTTTTTTTACTTAGGTAGTTGAAAAAAATATTGAGACAGAGTAAAAATCTGAATGTTATTTTTTTTCCACTCGCCGATTTACAGAGCGCACTAGTACAGAGCAAGTACAGGGTGAGCAAAACTCGATGTCTCAGCTCTATTATAAGAGAAGGAGAGATGATAGGGGAAATCCGAAAAAAGGTTTCTCAATAGGATTGTGTAAAGTCCGTTCTGAGCCTAATTCGCATATTTTTCTGAATTCGTAAGCTGAAGTAATGACGCCATCGATCATTTTTTCCCAGAAACATACCTATATTTTTGCATATTCGGAAAGAGCTGATTATACTGAACAAATTTCGTGAAGAAAAAAAATTTGCTATCTCCTTCCCTTAAAAAATTATAAGCAAATTTGCTCAAAAAAAGTATCATCAAAAAATTGCATTCGTCACGATTCAAACAAGGTTCCTACATGAATAGATATCAGAGATCGAGAGCAGAAATTATATGCAATGATTTCAATAATTATCATTATACAATTTATTCAATCTCGTCCACGAAAAGTCGATAACGTCCATAGTTGGACTTACTCAAAACATCGAAATCGTACGTACTCAGTACGTCTAGAAATGGACGTTTTCTTGGAAAGGATGTTCGTACCTAAATCGGACCTGAAATGGACGTCCCCAGAACGTCGAGTGCTATATGAGGCATACAAGACATACATACCAAGCTTATGAAATCGTGGTAATAAAATTAAACTCGTTGGTTTTCAATAAGGAACTCAACCTCATGAAATGGACCACAATTTTGAAGTTCAGCATATACAAGGTGAGTCATAACTAATGGGGCATAGGCTAAGGGCGAATTGTATGGACCAAAATACGGCGATACGACCAAATTTGTCTGTATAAAATATCGTTGTGGAAAAAGATACAGGGCGTTAAAGTTGAATATAACTCGTTTGTCGCTAATGATTTCACTGTATATTTATCAAATCGGCACAGAGGCCTAATTTTATACAAGGAATATTATTTTATGTATTATTCTACAGTTTGTTACATGATTTCAAACATTATTTAGTTTATCAAAAGTGTGCTTTGGACTGTCAGATGATTGTTGCTGGTGGATTACATCTCTTGTCATTGAATGAATTTTGTTGCGAGTAATTTAGTGTCAATACTTTTTCGATTGAAACGCCTGCTTGTATCTTTTTCCACACCAATATTTTATTAAGGCATATTTGGTGCTATCCCCATGTTTTGGTCCAAACAATCCGCCCTCAGCCTATGTCCCAATAGTTATGACTCACCATGTATGTATTCCGTCGATCAAAATCAATAATCAAAATTGAATAATTTCATTTCATTCCGAATCATCAAGGAAAATTAGCTATTGTAGTTCTTGTCTCAAGGTATATATTGGTCAAACGGGTACACCATTTAATCACCGAATGCACGAACATAGCATGAGTTATTTTAAAATGATACCAAGTTCAACATCCGCTAAACATATATTGAAAGGAAATCAAAGTTTGAATGACATACGAATTTTCAGATATACAAAATGAAGGAACAAAACTCATATAACTAGCCGCTGCCGTCAAATTTTTCTTCGAAAACAATGAATGCAATATACAGGGTGTTTCAGTTTTTTGTAGCAGGACTTTTTAACAGCTTGAAGAATACATTTTTTCACGATGAAAATCCCAAAGAACATATATGCGTGGGAGCTTCGTTTCCGATTTACAGGGTGTCGAAGTTTCATATTTTCTTTATGTTTTTTTAATGTTCTCCTACAATTTTCGGAATAATTGATTGAAATTTGGTACACCTAATACACTTCAAAAACTCAATATTCGAGGCTATTGAGCGTTTTTGAATACCTACAGAGTGATAGACTTTCAGGTATCGTACCCAATTTAACCCTGTAGAACTTTTTTGCGTGCCGCCTCTGCTTTCAATGGGACATAGATTCAGATTGTCTTTGCAATTTGGAAATGTTTTGCCCCCATGTATGTTTTTCGAAAACTGTATGGATTTCGAGATGAATAAAAGTTGAATCCGAACCACTTCTAAGGGAACTGATAATATAAGAACTGTCGTTCACGAGATTGAATTATTAAAAGTCACAACACCTCAACCGTAAGAAGCGACATTCCTAGACCGTGTGTCATACAGTCCCTGATATCGAAAGTTTAACCAGTTTAAGTTATACAAGGTGTCCTAGAATTTTCTACAATACAATTTCAGATTTTGCAATCCAGTTAGAGAAGTTTTTTCGAAATATAAACATTTTTTCTTTGTTTTTCCTAGTTTTAATTATAATGGCGTTGAAAAACTTCAATCTAATTGTCCAACTGAATTTCATTTGGTATGGAAGCTTTCGGTCATTCTATTTTCCAATAAAATGTTTGAGAAATGTCAAATAAGTCGAGAAATAACGGTTTTATTACAAGTAATTTATTTTTGGCATTTATCTCGGGATCCATACAGTTTAAAAAAAAATTACATAGGAGCAAAAAGTTTACAAACTGAAAGGACAATCTGAATATATGTCCCATTGAAAGCAGAGATGGCACGCAAAAAAGTTCTACAGGGTTAAATTGGGTACGACCCCTAAAAGTCTGTCACCCTGTAGGTATTCAAAAACGCTCAATAGCCTCAAATATAAGGTTTTTGAAGTGTATCAGGTGTACCAAATTGTAATCAATTATTCCGAAAATTGTAGGAGAAAATTCAAAAAACATAAAAAAAATCTGAAACTTTGACACCCTGTAAATTGGAAACGAAGCTTCCACGCATATATGTTTGCATGAGATTTTCATCTTGAAAAAATGTCTTCTTCAAGCTGTTAAAGTCCTGCTACAAAAAACTGAAACACCCTGTATAGTGCTGCCCCTACCGAGGTGGCGTATGTAGTAAGTAGCAAAGCATACAGTTATTAGTGTCTAGAGATATACCAAAATACACCTGTCTGTGTATATGAGAGTTTTGGACAAAAAAAGGGAAGCAGCGAACTTTCATCCATCTTGACTTCTACCTTTAACAAACGGAGTAAATAATATTTTCGATATAGCGCCGGCGACCCAGCTCGGATGTGAGAAGGCCTAGTTTGGCGGAAATGGAAGACCTGGTTAACAAACCCTCGACACCTTTAAGGCCTTCTGGACCGAAGGGAGCTGCTCCTACAATCGTGGACGTTCAAGAAAATTATTCGGCAGTGGAAGGTTTGGAAGAGCAGTAGAGTGGTTCCTGGAAGTTGATATAATCGGTTTATTCTTTCTTTTCTAGATCAAACGGCCTACATTACTATTCAAGTTGAGGGCGACCCACCACCAACATTCAAATTCTATAAGGTTAGTACTCATCTTCGTCAGATTTTTTTCGTTGGGGATTTTCCAGACATTTCCAGGGAAATTATATCTCAAAATACATTATATAAAATGAAAATATGGATATTATTTCAAAATACGTCCATTTAGTGCGTAATTCTTCGATATCTCGAAATTCATTATCACTAGAGAAAAATTTTTGAGAACAAATTTCTTCCGTTATTGAGGGTTCCCATTTCAAAAATATAAATATAAATAAATATATGTTTTAAATAGAATGCCCAGTATTTTTCATACGAAATTCATTTCGGGCAAATCATCTGATTTGTCCTCACTACACGTACAGGGTGATTCACCATAAATGCCCCCCCCCCCCTATAGCTCACTCATTTTTGAACCGATTCAAAAATTTGGAAAATAATCTGAAATGATTTTTCAGAAAATTGTTTCCCGTTGTATCAGAAAATACAGGGTGCTCGAAACAAACAATCTACAGAGGACTACTTCATTTTCTCAAATGGAACACCCTGTATTTCATTGTATTTTCTGATTCTTACTGAAGAGCTAATTTCATCGATGTATCACACTTGGGGTCTAGCGAAAATGATTACAGATATAGGGTGTTCAAAATCGAGATTTTTCAACTTTAAGATTTTTTTTGTGTCGAAACTATTCATTATTGGTCACAACGGCTCCTATATCACCATCTCAACTTGTGATCATCGCTATGAAAAAAGTTGAATTTGGTTGAGGCATTGCCAAGTTATAATTGATAAACCCATTTTTACTACAATTGAAGGGTCATGTTGAATTGGGTTTGGTATATTCATTTATTAAAATTTCGAAAATATTTTTGGTATACAGTAGGTAGTAGCAAGGTCTCACGTACCAAATCCAGTAATTTTGCGAGATAATCCTTCACAGGGTGCTAGAATTTACATTCCGAATATTGTAAGATTCAGACGACGTTCATTAGAATTTTTCAAATGGAACACCCTGTATTTTTCATCACAGATTTATTTAGATATCATTCGCCTTTTTATCGCTGGATAAAAATCAAAAACGGTCGCGGAGTTTTCAAGTTATGAGTAATTTCCTTATGTTTATCACTCAATATCTCAGGGCTTCAAGGCATGGTTTTCCTTTATTCGATTTGAGTGTGGGAATATTGATTGCCACTTTACATTTGAGGTTCTACATAGATCATACAGGTATATGCGATATGTGGTAATTTGAAATATTCTGTAATCTTGTTACTTATAATTTGAATAATATGTACCTATATGAAACAAACAAACATGCCGAAAGCAACACCTGCCTTTAACACAACTTCTACAATACAAACAATGGAGATTTGAATTGCGAGAATAAGGACATTTTTTCAAAATTTGGACCACTTTTATTGTCGTTATTCTCACAATCCAAATCTCCATTCAACTTGAAGGAGACAAACTCTACATAATGATATACGAACAATATTCAGCAAAATTTTGAATAAATTCAAGATAGGTATATTTGATTGTGGCTGGTGTTTGACAGATCATTACACGAATAATGCAAGAGTGTTTCGAGAAATGAATTCATATTCTGCAAAAAATCTGTGAAAGAAGTATTTTAGATCAATTTGTCAAAACCCACTCTGTTTTAAATTCAAACTTGAGGAGCTTGTCAATGTTGCTATTGTAAAAAAATATGTGAATGGTTAATGAAGAAATTTGATTATACCGTAGCAACGCGATATTTCCACAATACAAATAAATGAAAGAACTATGACGTACAAATTACTCCGAAATAGTTGTGAATATAAGGGAATTATCCATGACTAGACAACGCCGGAACCGATTTTGATTTCTTTTTCAGCAATGAAAAGGCGAGAGATGTCGGAATAGATAATGAATGTCATCTGAATCTTGCAAAATTCTAAATGCAAAATTGAGCACCCTGTTAAAGAACATGCCGCAACATTACTGGATTGGTATACGTGGGACCTTGCTACTACCGTATGCCAAAAATATTTTCAAAATTTGAATTAATGAATATACCATGCCCAATTCAACATGACCCTTCAATAGTGGTAAAAATAGATTTTATCTATAATAACTTGGCAACGCCGCAACCGATTCATTTTTTTGCAGCGATGTGAAGGTAAACCTTGGCGGAATAAATTCCGAATAAACAATACTGGGTGTTCCATTTAAAAAAAATCGTCTCCGAGTCGTCCCGCTTTTATAAAACACACAGTAAAGTTGAAAATATTTTTGAAAAAAGCAATTTTAGTAACTAAAAAAGTTTCTTCTTCAAAGTTCTTCTCTATAGGTTATGGCTTCCGAGATATCGAATAATTACGCACTAAATGGACACACTGTATAGTAAGGACAAATCAGATGATTTGACCCGAAATATCACCGCGTTTAAAGAATTGTTCTAGAAGCCTAAAAGAGAAATTCACCAGATTGTCAGTGACAATTTGTACTGAAAAAGGTTTGGAGAAGAGAAATAAAGGTATATAGGAAAACTATCACTTATACTTGGGCGTTTCGAAAGGAATATGCCCCCGTTTTCAAAGCAAAGCAAATTCGTATTCGTCTTGACACTTTTCAGTTCTCAGTGACAATTGGTGACGTTGGCAGTCAAATGAGTTACAGGATGTTTTCATTAATTAATTTTGAGTTCACCATTTTTATTATCAGATTTCATTAGTAAATACCATGTTCTATCTATATCAACTGAAGAGAAACATCAAGGAATCTGCTTGTGTTCTTCTTAACGGAGGCATAGCATTGATTCCTGTCCAGCTGATATAGATAGAACATGGTATTTACTACTGAAATCTGACAATAAGAATTTTGAAATCAAGATTAATTAATGAAAACATGCTGTAACTCATTTGATTGCCAACGTCACCAATTGTCACTGAAAACTGAGAAGTGTCAAGACGAATACGAATTTGCTATTCAAATATCCATTTATATCTTGAAAACGGAAGCAGATTTGTTCCCGAAACGCCAAAGATGAGTGAAAATTCGATATTTTTTTCTATACCTCTATATCTCTTCAACAAACCTTTTTCGATACAAATTGTCAACGACAAACTAGTGAATTTTTCTTTAAGGCTCTCTGATAGGAAAATTATTTGAACGCAGTGACATTCTGAGGCAAATCATCTGATTTGTCCTCACTACACGTACATACATAGAAATAATATTCATATTTTTATTTTATCGAATCGATAAAAAAATCCCAAAGAAACTGAAATAATGACCACCTCCTCGATTAACCTACAGGCAGTATTTTATTATGATTACTTTTTTGTTGTATGGTAAAGAAATTCCTAAAAATTCAAATCCTTTTCCGATTTTGTAGCTTTCCATACCAGTATATCCAAAATTACAGAAGCTAATATTCTCAATGTTTTTCTCTTGATTCATCAATATCGATTTGTATTTTCGTAAAAGAAGTAAACCGTCATGTATCTCCAAAGAATAAGAATAGTGTTCAATGTTTTCATACCGTTCAATGGATACGAAGATTTCAAAAAAAATACATAGATTTCAAAACAAATATCAGTCAATAGCTGACACAAAGTTCACAAATAAGTTGTGAACAACATTTGGCTCATACAAAACCAATTAGTTGATGCTTTGAAACTTATGATGAAACAAAAATGCGTCTGGCTGATGGGACCATGTCCACAAAGCCAAAAAAAAATCAGTTCTATAAAATCGAATTGAATAAATCCAAATGAAACGCATTTCATTTCACGTAATTGTAAAAAACTTCACAAAATAAGGAATTGTATCGTTTGTGGAGTTTTTCACATTTGCTATAAAAATTTCTCATAGCGTTTTTTTCATAACCAAATTGACAACATTGAAATATCGACTAGTGACATATTTTCCACCCATTCCACATTAAATGGATAATTGGGCCGCGCTTTTTCCAAAAAAAATATAGTTATTGGAATGGGTCAAAAAAATATTTGTGGCTCTGTGAAATATGGTACAAGAGAGGATCCGATTCAGTTCCTTTATTACCTACTTCACAGAGTGTTTTACAATTTGTTAGTCATAAATAAGACAAATGACAACCCTGATGAATTTCTTCACGAAATACAAGAAATTTTCAAATTCGGAAAAATTTCACAAGACTTTTTGAACACCATATAACAGCGTGTCCCGTTACTCGATCCTCATAGTTTAAGGGCATATTATTAAGTCGAAAGTGCCACTTTTGTCCAAAATTTTATAGTTGAGCACTGACGTTCGAGTCACGGGATACTCTGTATATTTCTGATATATATCTCTGAGAATACCTTTTTTTCCATCTTATAAGAATTCCTTTGAGACGTCGAAATAAATAAATGGATTCAACCCAGGTAACACATCATATTGGCTGGAACCCGATTTCATATTGGGCCGATATAGATATATCGTACATGTGAAACATAATATAGGTCCAATATGAGAGTATATTGGACATACAATATTGAAATGATAATATTTGTGGAATATTGGTTCAACCTGAGCTGAATATGGATTGTCAGCTACAATATTGGAGCAATATTGGTTGTAAAGTTCGTGAACAATGTGTTGAAAAACATATCCATAAATGTTATATAATATTGTTTTACAAATGTCGGTACAACAACATCGTATACATATTGTTCCTGACGTTATTAACCAATATCGCAATTTGAACATTCTCCCCATGTCGATTCTGAAGCGGTTATGCAATACTGTATATTCAAGTTAAACGGCATATTGGTTGGATATTGTTTTAACAATATTTGAAACATCATATTCACCTATATTGATTGATATCATTTTATCTATATCATGCGGAAGATATCGTATACATTTTGTTTCTTACATTTATAACCAATATCGTGATTTGAATATTCTCCTCATGTCGATTCTGAAGCGGTTGTGCAATATTGTATATTGAAGTTCGATGGCATATTGGTTGAATATTGTTTCAACAATATTCGAAACATCATATCCACCTATGTTGATTGATATCATTTTATCCATATTATGCGGAAGGTATCGAATACATATTGTTTCCAACAATTATAACCAATATAGCAATTTGCACATTCCCCACATGTCAATTCTGAAGCGGTTATGAAATATTGTATGTTCGAGTTCGACGGCACATTGGTAGAATATTGTTTCAACAATATTTGGCACATTGAATTCACCTATATTGATTGATATCATTTCAACTATATCACGCGGAAGATATCGTATACATATTGTTTCCAACAATTATAACCAATATCGCAATTTGAACATTCTCCCCATGTCGATTCTGAAGCGATTATGCAAAACTGTATATTCGAGTTCGACGGCTCATTTTTGAATATTGTTTATTCGACAATATTCAGAAAATCATATTTACTCAAATTGATTGATATCGTTTCAACTATATCATGCGAAAGACATGGAATGCATATTGTTTCAAATATGAATATCAATAACGGCAATTCAATATATATCTTATATCGGCCATAGAAGAGAAAAACAATATTGTATTTTCAAGTTCAATTGCATATCGGTTGAATAGTTTTCCAGGAATATTCAGAAAGTAATATCATCTTATATTGGCCGATCAGACGAGAGAATATAAATATTGGCTCTAGACGATTGTAAAGCATTATTACCTACCTGGAGTAGGAGTTAACCGTGATCAATAAGGCGGCTTCCCCAAGGCAAGGCCCTCCCATTGCACTTCGGCTGGGCTGACCTTTGTGATTATTTCTAATGCGAATAACTCGCAAATATTGATATGAAAATATTCCACCAATATGTCGAAGACAACATAGCTACATAATGATTATCAATAATGTAACAATATTTCCAACCAATATTGCACCAGTATATTACTATAATATTTCAGCAATAGCATAGCATAGCTTCATGATGTTTTTCAATGATTCACCGATATTTCCATATAATAATGCACCAATATTGCCGAATGTTCACCATTAATTTCTCGCCAATTACATTTTGTGACCAATATAACTCCACGAATATTTAACCAATATTGATATGAGAATATTCTACCCACATTTGGAAACTGATATTGTACCAATATCGCCGAATGTTCACATTTTTTTTCTCGCCAATATTACTTTCACAATATTTTGCCGATATTTTCGTAATTTTGCACCGATATTGTCCCAATATATGTGTGCTACTTGGGAAACGATCAGATATGGCCGCGAAACGTGTGACGTCAGTTAGTTTTTCACTTTCTGTTACTAATTTTGCTACCGGTTTCAGGGTATGACTGAGATCATTGAGGGTGGTCGTTTCAAGTTCGTAACGGATGGAGAAGCGAACCTCATTACCCTCTGTATAAGGAAAGTGAAACCCAACGATGAAGCCCAATACAAAGTTGTGGTATCTAATGTTCATGGTGAAGACAGTGCAGAAGTTGTTCTATATGTAGCAGGTAGGTTTCGAGTGAAAAATTTTATGAAAAATTGTAGTGAGAAGTTTGGATGATGGTCAATTCGGTCCCACCAGGTAGTAGCTTGAATTACAAATTTTATACCCTTTTATCGGTGAGTAAATTCGGTCCCAACTATGTCAATTGCTAAGGGTTTCACAATACTTGCCTGCATAATCGATTCAGGTCAGATTATTTAAAAAAAGTTGTCTCCTTCTTATGCAGAAAGGATATTTTCCCTCCTCATATTATAACCTACTTATATACCTATATAATATATTAGGCCGAGTTAGGTCAGATTGTTCAGAAAAAATAGTCTCCTTCCTATGCAGAAAGGATATTTTCCTTCCTCATATCATAACCTACCTACTTATATACCTACCTATATAATATATAAGGCCGAGTTAGGTCAGATTGTTTAGAAAAAGTAGTCTCCTTCTTATGCATAAAGACGAGCATTTTCCTTCCCCATATTATAACCTACTCATATACCTGTATAATATATAAGGCCAAGTTAGTCAAATTGTTTGGAAAAAGTAGTCTCATTTACCTCACCGAATTCACCTATGCAGTATATCAGGTGAAACAAAGTTTAGGACCGAATTTGAACCTTACTTTTGGCCTGATAATTCTTGGGACCGAATTTACATATACCCAGAAGTTTATCACGATAAATAATGTCCAGTCCAGTGATGAACGCGTGATTAAACATTAACAGTCAATAATACATATTCTGGTAACACAACACTACCCTCAGTCCCAATACATAAATCTTCCACAGTCTTCCATGTAAATATATTACACTGTCCCTTGCGCCACCGAAACATTATTTATACGTATTATCTCAATTCTCAGGTGCTGGAGGCTTGGACTTCCGGTCTATGCTAATCAAGAGGAAGTACGCTAAATGGGACAAAGACAAAGAGGATCCCGATTGGGGTGACCTGAAAGAAACAGAAAAACCCTTACCAACGCTCAAGAAAGTCGAAAAGGTTGGTATTCATTCATTGAGAAATTCTTAATACTATAGGGCACAATAGAATGAATTATCATCTGATAATACATATCATTATATCCTTCTCTGAAAAATTGAAGAATAATATACAGGATAGGGTGTCCCGGTTTTCAGTTTTATGCATCGTTATATGAATTTTTCCATTCTTCATGTCAATCGACAAACGAAATACAAGGTAAAAGCTCCATTATTATGGAAAACTTCATTCGTATAATTGATAATAATGGTGACATCGCTCACGGCTGGTTTCGTTTCAACAAATGGGTATTTACAACTGCTTCTTCGTTTGGATAGAACCTGCGAAGATCTCATCTCGTCGGCTGATGAATGTCTATCAAGACTATCATGCCACTCTCCTTCAAGGTCTGCAGTTGATTCAGTTCTCTGCCTCTGTCCTTAGAAGCACATTCACAGTATCTACACAATCAACTCCAGGTGGTTTATGGATATTTGAAAATAATATAATAATGAAATACCAAGGAATTTCGGCTCATATTGGTAACATAGACTCCGACGTCATTGAAGACACAAGAGAATCGTTGTACTCGTGCCTAGCAGCCTTTAAAACGAAGGCCTTTTCGTCAGGGCAATTCCACATCCACTTCATCTGTGGTTCACGACGTTATTCACGTAGTAACTTTTTCAGGTTAGCCAATGAGTATCCTTTCTCCTCCAAACCAGCAGAGCAGAACATATCGCCTCTATCTGTCTTAGTCATCAAGAAAATTCTTGATATTTGATAGACAGTCTGGGCAATTTGGAGTCAGGATTAAGTTTTTCACATATACCAAGGTTTTATCCTCGACAGACAGATAAGAAGCTAAACAAACCAGTCTCCATGCAGACTCTCGCAGTCTGTCTTCCTCACGACAGTTTGTCATATGTTGGTCTTCTTCAGACCTGTTGAAACACTTGATCTGGGTCTAGGAGTTGTTTTGTTTGTTCCACCTTAGATATCACAGATACTGTCAAGCATAAGGTTAGGGCAGCAATTGGTGGTAGGTAACCTTAGCTGTTCTCAGTCCTGAAGATGGTGAAAATCCAATTCGAAACTGATGGAGGTTTTTTAAATAGCTGTTGTTGTTTGCTTGATTCAGATTCCTCAGAAAATAATGTAAATTATAGAGAAAATAGTTTATTTATCCACATAAATCAATCAACCCGTTCTATCTCGAATAACAGTTCTTGTACTACTAGAAAATGTGTAGGTATAATAGTATCCTTTAGCGTTAGTTTTCTTTTTATAGACTCCGGTTTCTTCAAGAAGGCCTTCACTGGCTGAGTTAATACCCGATTGGCCCGTACTGCACCACTTCCAAAAAAAGGAGGTTGGATGAAACAATCCTCTCACCTTAATGTCTAAGTTGTAATTGTCTGCACGAAATCAAACTTTTGTACATACATTTCTCTCCAATCAGTGGCTATGTGAATCCAATCAGTGGCTATGTGAATCCTTTGGAATTTTTTTACCCCATGGATGATTCAGGGCTAACTCATTATTTGGACATTGAAAAATATGATGCTTTTGATGAATTTTATAATATAACTTTGCCAGAGTAAAACAATGATGGTTCCGAATCGTCCAATATTCTTCTTCTTCTCACCCAATTTATTCTCTTTCTGCCTCTTCCTCTCTCTGTTGCCTCTATTCTCTATCTCTATTTTCCTAGATCCATCCATCATCCCTCTCTTTCTATTGCTCTATCTCTTCTTGGAAATTGGAAATAAAGAATAACCCAACCATCATCTGTAAATACTATAACGCATTGTGGGATCAGCAGTGAATGTTATGTATATATTATGTATATATTGATGTTCTCACCGATTTTGTTTCAGTCAGTTTTTCACATCGACCACATTTTTTGGACTTGATATGCATCCAATATAAATGTTTTGTACATAGTACCAGGACTATATCTCCAACTGCAATGTAATGCTATAGCAACTTTTGACTTTGCAGAAACAAGAAACGTTCCTGAAACCGCTGGTAGATCAGTTCGCCAAGGAAGGAAAAGATAAAAAAGTTATTTTTGAAGCGAATTTCTCGAAAACGAATTGTAAACCAAAATGGCTCTTCAGAAAAGATGTGAGTACTATTTTTTAGCTCCAATCAGTAGACCTAAACAAAATTTGCTGTACTTTTTCAAAAACGACTCATCACAAGTAGTGATAGTTTCCTTTTAGAGATAAACAGTTTGATTACAACAAATAAATATCATATGACTAGTTTATTTGTGACGATTCCACCTATTGAGCACTAATAATCAAATGAAAATTTTGAATTGACTCGGCCGTTACTTGATGGAAATTCATGACAAATGTAAAAACTTCACAAACGATAAGATTTCCACAAAATTTTTAAACACACGACATGTTTCGCTAACACAGTAGCTTCGTCAGGTGATATACTGGTACAATGTGAAGTTTTTATATTAATCAAATGAAAGGTTTTGCTCATTGTCAGTGTCAGTTTATTCGCCAATGATTTGTTTTTGACAAGAAGCCTAATTTTTTTACTCAATTACATTGTATAGTACAGATGTTACAAAGCTCAAAATTTTGTAAATTTGGTGAAGATGATGATAGGTCAAATAAATGTTTTCCTGAGGCGGCTTCATCTATAGAGATATCACCGCTCCACGAACAAAGATGCTAAAGAAACCTACTCATATTGTGTTTCCTCATATATCGAACAGTGGCGGCTCCTCAGAGGAGGCAACGGAGGCTGAGCCTCCTCAGAGATTTTCCTTAAACTAATAAAATTTATACTTTCTCATTAAAAGGACACCAAAATACATGTATTTTGATTTTATTTCCTGTTTTTAGTTAAATATTTTCGAATTGGCAACAGTGCTTGCCCACGCATCACACGTTGAAGTCTGCAAATCACGCGTAAAATATTCAACTTGGCAACATCTATAGGAGGCTAGACTCCTTCACATAGCGCAACCTACGCGCGCAATGCGAATGCCCGAATACGCCCGAATAGCACGTGTTTGTCGTGTCGCTTCGCGAATTGCGGACAAACACGAGTGCATTGTTTATGTTTATGTTAGGTTAATGTTTAGGGGCTCTATGAATTTCTGAAAAATGATAGTTTTAAACGATTGCGATTTAGTGGAATACTTTTTGGTGAACCCATTCAGTGCTTTGTCTTATGAAGATAAATTGATTGTGAAAAACAAACGTCCGACACCGGAATTAAAAAATCTGATTGTAACAGGTAACAAACAAAATTGTTCATTCAATTCTGATAATTATAAAAAATATATCTGGTTGACGGGATCTGAGGTAAGGAATAAGCTATTTTGTTCGTACTGCGTATTATTTTCAACCGATAAGTCATCATGTTGGGGGCGATTAGGATATTATAATGATTTGAAAAATTTGCCTCGCGGATTGGATAGACACTGCAAATCACAGGAACGCATCTCTTCAAGTATTAAGTTCAGGTTAACTGGGTAAACAGAATGTCATTAAAGCTATCGATTTGGGTGAGTAGAGAGTTGTTTTTCACAATAAATCTCATATCATTCAGCCTCCTCTGTCATGAAAGTAACGAGCCGCCACTGCTATCGAACCAGTTTTTCTGGAGAATTAAAAAATTAAGATCTCTGTTATCAAACAGGTGTATAGGTACCTTCTCGATACAAAAATGTTCGGGGCGGGGCATCTGATGATATGAAATGCTTTTTGAAAAATTAACTGTTGTAAAGATTCAAACTTGTGAAGTTATAAACTGAAAATCCCATTCAAATATCTCGGAAAACAACCGACACAAGGAAAACTTCCAACTCGCAGTTCATCATTCCATGTACACATTATTCACAGCCCTAACGGTACGATCATTTCAGGAGCTGTTCCCTGGATCGAAATACAAATTCAAGAACGAAGGGGACATGTACCAGCTCATAATCTCGAACCCCAAAGTAGAAGACACGGGAAAATACACTATCGAAATCGGCGGTGTCACCTGCACCGCCTTCCTTACAGTAGACGAACCAGACCCGAGCTACACCTTCACCAAACCCCTGAAGAAAAAGTACGACGGCTACACCAAACACGAATGCGAACTCTCTTGCACGGTCAGCAGCAGCCTAGCTATAGTAGGCTGGTACAAGGGAAGCACCAAGCTCGAGGATAACGACAAGTTCAGCATCTCCAAAGACATCAACGGCGTGTGTCGTTTGACAATCAAAGATGCCACCTTCGATGACGCAGGCGAATATACCTGCAAACTAGAGAAACAAACAGAGAAGACAGTCACTAAAGTGAATATAGTGGAATACCCGTACAAGTTCGTCAAAGTTCTCAAACACCAGCAGCACGTAGAAAAAGAGAACATAACTCTGCTCTGCGAGTTGAATGACGCCAGCGGGGACGTCAAATGGTTCAAAGGCGAACAAGAGATCAAGCCCGACAAGCGATTGGTCGTGAGCAAAGATGGGCGCAAGCGCAAACTAGTTATCAAAGACGCCAAAGTGACAGACGCTGGCATGTACTCGTGTACCACCAACGCAGACAAAACTGAGGCGGAAATAATCGTTAATTACTTGAACCGTTTCAACAAGAAGCTGAAAGATACAGTGGCAGTTGAAAGGGAAAAACTCGTGCTGGATATCGAGCTGCAAGATCAAACTGCCCCAGCCGAGTGGACTTTCAATGGCAAGCCCATAGTGCCTTCAGAAAGGATCGAAATAAAGAACCTGGGAGGTGGTAAGCACCAGTTGATATTCAACGCCCTGGAGATGGGCGACGATGGGGAAATCAAATGCGAATCGGGTAAATTGGAATCGAGTATGATGCTTTCTGTGAAGAAAGGGGAAAGTAAGCCTCAAATCGATTTCCCAGCGAATTTCGAAGCTCCAATTAGCAGACCTATCGTTCTCGAAGTTCCATACAAAAGTAAGTAGGATATCGACAGTGGACGTTCTGAAAACATTGGAATATAGTTGGATATAACCAAATGTTGAAATTGGTGAATATTTCACGGGATGTAATATTCATTCATTTAACAAGTGGAGTAGAAAACTGGATCGATGTCCACCAAAGTTCAAACTATCATCAGGTTAAAAAATTAAAAATTGAACTGTGAATCATTATTTCGAAGAATTCCCAACGTTGTATTCCAGATATAATACGTCTTTGTGAACCATGATGATAACTTTTTTTGCAACGTTGAATTCAACTCAATTTATAACATTATATTCAAGTATAATTTCAACGTCATTTTCAACTCAATGTGTTACGATTCACACAGCCTCAACTCTCTGGTCTGCTATCTGGCATCTCAGCCTCATTTTGATATCACAATGCATTTTCATCAGAATATGCTCAGCTATACTAAAATTCTGTATCAAAAATCACGGGGCGAGTTTGTAAATTCATGAAAATAACGATAATTATACGTTCGTTTTCGTCAATCATTTACGTATATTACAATATGAAAACTAAGCATATGTTGAAGAATTGTTTGAAGATTACTTGAAAACAACATTAGTATTCAACGTTTTTATATCGTTCATTGAATACGTATATTTCAATATAAATACCAACCTCCAATAGTTGAAAAGAAGTTCACAGCTTAGAGGTAGTTGGAAATAACGTTAGTGTTCAACGTTTTTATATCGTTAATGTGATACGTTTATTAATAAATGAATACTTCATAGGTATGCAGTGTTTAGATAATTAATAGTTCACACATTAGTTGAGAATAACGTTAGGCTCACAAAATATGTATTTTAAAACAAACTGTTCTAGAAAATGAAGGTGAAGGTATGTTGATAGAACGTGTTTTATCTCATGAAACGTTATTGTTGTAATCGAATCGACAACGTTTAAAGATCAACTAGTCCATATTTTCCAACCATTCAACATTTAACGAACGTTGAATCAACGTAACGTGCCCATGATTAGGTCATCCTTCCTCCAAGGTGAAGACATCATCATGAAAATAACGATTATCAAACGTTAATTTCCAAACGTCTTCATATCGTCAATCAATAACGTATATTTCAATATGAAAACTAAGCATATGTTAAAAAATTGTTTGAAGATTACTTGAAATCAACATTATAGTGTTCAACGTTTTTATGTAATACTTACATATATTTCAATATAAATACCAACCCCCAATAGATGACAAAAAGTTCACAGATTAGGTAGTTGGAAATAGTGTTCTACTTTTTTATATCGTTAATTCAATACGTATATATTTAGAAATGAATACTAGGTATCCGGTATTTAGATAATAGTTCACACATTAGTTGAAATTAACGTTTGTTTCACACAAAAAGTATTTTACAACAAACTTTCATAGAAAATGAACTTGAATGTATGAATCGACAACGTTAAAAAATCAACTAGTGAGTAGTGAGATATTTTCCAACCATTCAACATTCAACGAACGTTGAATCAACGTAAAGTACCCATGTTTGGGTCATCCTTCTCTCTAACATGCATTTTTCCGCAGTTGATGGAACGAGACAAACGCCTCTGGAAGCTAAGCTCATCAAAGATGGAAAAATTCTTCCCTTGAAAGACGTAGACGTCATAGTGGGTGACGATAAGGTCACATTCAAAATCAAAAAGCCTACAAGAGAGCAGTCCGGTCCTTACCAGATCAAACTCTCGAACGGGCAAGGTGAAGACCTCAAAGACGTCAAGATCACTATGCAAGACGTTCCGAGTGCCCCACAGGATGTGAATGTTACAGATATATTCCAAACGAATTGCAAGGTTTCTTGGAAACCTCCACAGGACGATGGAGGTTCTCCGCTCCTACACTATGTAGTCGAGAGGCAAGATATCAGCCTCAAAGGTAAGACAACATCTCAACACATCATAATTCGGACATTCTTTGGCTGCCTGTATTTTCTTTTTCGGAGAATAGATGGAAATGATAATTGATGTCTATGACAACACTAATACAGTTCTCAACACACTAAATGGACCACTTATAATCTGACTCTTTTTCGACGATCTGTATTTTTTGAAAAAATTGACCGATTCACATGCGGTGTTCGCTATCAGATATATTTCATCGACTTCCAAGGAAGATAGATGGTAACATAATTCCCGTGACGCATACAAAGTTCTTGGGCTTTATCATCGATGATAAATTGGATTGGAAATCTCATATATCTTATATTAACAATAAACTGGCAAGCGCCGTTTATGCAATTTCCACAATTAGAATTAATATCGGCACCGCTGCTGCCCAAACAGTTTATTTTGCCTATTTTTATAGTATTCTAAACTACGGAGTTGAATTCTGGGGAGACTCAGTTAACTCAAATTCCACATTTATATTACAAAAAAAAGCTGTCCGGGCCATGTTGGGTTCAAATAGACAAGACTCATGTCGCAGGCACTTTGTCAACTTGAGGATATTTACTCTCACCAACCTTATTTATATGTACATAGTAACAATCGAAACATTCAAAAGAAAACATAATTTCAAAAAACTATCAGATATACATAGCTATAATACTCGTAATAACAGATTAATTTTGAAACCAATGTTCATCTATGAGGCTAACAGAAAAGGACCATTATATATGGGTATCAAAATTTTAAATCACCTACCGAACTCACTCACAGAAATTTGCTCACTGAATCGCTTCAAGATATCACTCAAACAATATTTACTGTCAAATATTTATTATAACCTTGAAGAATTTTTTTCAAACAATAGTCAATAGTATTTTCAACCTCAATATTAATGTTTATTTCTATTAATAACTATTTCAGTAAATATTTCATTAAATTTACAAAAGCAGATACCGAAACATCTATTCATCGTACATATAAATGATAATTTCTGTCAAAGATTATACTTTCACTAAATTTGTAAGTATTGCCAAATATCAACTCCGATTTGTATACATTATTTATTTTTCTCTCTCGTTATCTCAAACGTTCTTAGGAACTTGCATTGATTTGTAAAAAAATGTATTTTTTTGCACTCACTGTATTGAGAAATAAATCTATCTATCTATCTATCTATCTATCTATCTATGGAAAAGTACGCAGAGCTAAACTTACACAGGGTGTTTAGTGATGGCCGTGGGCCCACCATGCTCTCACGGCGTCGAGTCGGAGTAGCCCCAGGTGATTTCAGGCACCTCTTCAGGATTCTTGTCAACATAAGTAACAATCAGGCCAAAGCCTCTTGCGACGGCGACCCATCAGACGTAACAAGAGGAATCTTGTTGACATGGGTACCTGGGGTGATGAAGATAGCCCCATCAGGTCAAACATACGGCCTGATGCCTCACCAATTTGGTTGGACTCCAGGGGGCGGTTTCCAAAAAACACCACCGGACTACGGCAGAGGAGGTGGAGAAGAATCCCACTATGGGTCAAGTGGGAGGATATATCTTGCCTGCCTCGGCGGATGAGCAGCGTTTCTGCTCGGGCACTGACACTGCAGAGCCAGTAGTCTGTTTGATCCGCAGCCTCACCATTGGTATAATGAAATGGTAGCAGGAGAACATACCGTTACATAACGGAGATGGCTCTAGTGCGCTGATTTGGCGTATCCGAATCCTCCATTTCACCCTGGGGTGCTGTCGGTATAAGTCGAAAGATGGGTGACCGGCAGTCCCACCCGGTTGCTACCCCGGCAACACATTGATTGATTGAGGGTGTTTACTGGGTCCGTTATACACTATGGTCAACATTTGCGATGCTGCCGGAACCCAAGAATTTTTTTCTGAGTAAAAGTAAGTCGTATTATGAATCGGGAATTCATATCTGGAAGTTTCGGATTTCTCCTTGATTCGCCTTTGGAACAAAAGTCTTGTATTTCTTGCGATTTTTCTCCATAACTCTATCGAACTGAATATTGGGAAGAATCGTTTCTATCTTTTCTGAAGATCGATGGAACATGGATAGAGCACCATAGTATAATATACAGGGTGAAACGAAAGCAGATAGAAATCTCAATTCAGTAAAATAAATAAAAACGGTAATCATCGATATCGATTATTTATATTAGACTTTTTTCAGTGTTCTAGCTCTTTCTGATGTCGATGAAATATCACATTTGGACCACCTTGGAATCAGTCAATTATCAAAAGAAATACAGGTCTCCGGAAAAAAGTCAAAATATGAGTGGTCCATTTAGAGTTTAGAGTATTGAGAACTGTAGTTTTTTATTGAACGTATTCAATTGTTCAGGATTTTCTGTATGGAACTCGAATTGTACCATTTTATTAACAAAAAATATTGAGTTACAGCTGGTTGGGAGAGCGTTGGCCAGATCAAACCCAATGAGCCGACAACTTTGAAAGTAGAAGGACTTATACCTAAAAAAGAATACAGGTTCAGAATCCGAGCGGTAAACCAGCTCGGTTCAAGTGAACCAGCTCAATTTGGTAAACCAGTATTAGCCAAAGATCCTTGGGGTAAGTTGTGTTTTGTTTTCAATGATCAATCATGTTGGTTTTATGTGTCCATAGAAGATATAATGCATTATGGGTGTGTCAAGTTCAGTATGTGTTGCTAATCCTTCATACGAAATTTCATTGAGAGACTTAATATCTGTCCGTTACACACAGTATAGTTCAGAAATTGAAGTACCTAGATAAATAAAAGCTCCTGTAAAAATTGCAGAGTATTCATTGAAAGTGAACTACGCATTTGGAATGAGCATGTTTCTCAATTTTCTTTTTTTTTTTTCACATTTTCATGGACTACAATTTTGCTAGTGGGACAATTCAGAACAATATTTTCGAAGAATCGATTTCTGAACAGACCTTTATGTATGTATATGTTCGATATAGATCTGTTGTGTATTTTATAAAATTTGTGATGTCTAGTTACAATATCCTTGTATTCATTCGTCACTGTCTAGATCATCATTTTTTCGTTATAACTGATGACAAACTTGAAAATTTTGCAGTCCTTTTTTCAGAAGATAGTGTTGCGAAGATGTACATTTTTCTATCAATTTCCGCATTTCAACAATATGATCATCATGTTTCTTTCCTAGGTCTCAAAATTAAGGCATCTTTTCTGACAGGATTCATAACTCATTCAAATAAAATATTCCACCAAAATTACCCTAATGAAAGTTGCAAAATGTCTTGCTGACAAAAAAAAAGTTGAGTAATCGTTGTGACGTGGCCTCACACACGGTAAAACAAAAAAATGCTGTTAAAAAAGAGATCTACTATCAAAACCACCTCTTCTCCAGAAGGAGTGGAGTACAAAAATACCAGGAATGAAAACTAAAAACAAACACAAAATCTATATGCGACAGAAAATCTGTTATTTCGACATTCGCACACAAGTTCCCTGTTACGAATCACTTTGTCACATATAATTCATTCTTATGTTCAATTCATAAGCCATGTGTTCTCAATGCAACAGTTATACAGGGTGATTCAAGTTTTGAGGTAAAAACTGAAATGTACGATAGATCTCATCATTTTAATCAAAAAAGTCTTTATAAACATGATTCCGATCTCGATCAGTAGCGGAGCTTCAAGACGTCAAAGATTAATTGTTTTTTTCTAATAATTGAAATAACTTGCTCACTATTGAGGATATCAATTCGAAAAATTTAGTGAGGTTGTTACTTCCTGGAAGATCATAATTTTGAGCATTCTGATGATTTTCAAAATCTACAGGGTCAAACATTTTTAGGGGTACAGGCTTCTTTATCCCACCCAAAATTTTCAGTACTACACCTCTGGCATCATCTAGTTACCGGATTATGTGAATTGTTCAATTTAGAGACTTTCATTGCTCCTCAATTTTTTTCGAGAAACGAACCGTTCTTGAAATAAATAAGCATATGCCTTCTAAAACATGTTTAATTTGTCTACATTTCATTTTATTCTTGGAGAAAATTCGAGCAACTTTCAAAACTAACAAAACCTTATTTACGTTCTATCCTTCGTATCTACGCTACTGATCTAGTTTGTGATTTAAGTACATTTCATTGCATTTTTTGCGAATTTCATCCAATAATAAAATTCAAGCGAAACAATATGGGCAAAATTGACATGTTTTCAGAACGGATATTCTTATTTATTCTGAAAACGGTGAGTTTATCGCAAAAAAGGAAAGGCAATAAAGCTTCGAAATTGAACGATATATTAAATTTCTTAACTGCAAGATGTCAAAGGCGTACTACGAAATAGTTTGTGGGGGATAAGAAAGCCTCTACCTCCAAAAACGTATCACCCTGTAGATTTTAAAAATCTATAAGATCCTTAAAAGGATCTTCTAGTAAATATAGACCACACTCAATTTCTACTCGATATCTTCAAAAGTGAGCAAGATATATTAATTAATAGAAAAAAATAATTTAACTTCGGCCCCCTGTAGCTCCGCTTCTGATCGAGATCGGACTGTTTGTATAAACTTTCCTGATAAAAATGATTAGATCTATCACCCATTTCAATTTGTGCCTTTAAATCTGAATCACCCTGTATATGCATAAAGATTATTGGCTTTAGTCAAACTCTGGTATGTTACTGTTTGCCATAAGGTTTGGCATACCGAGTACTTTCTTAGTAAGGCTGACATGCGCAATCAAACATTTTTTGCGAAATGGCTTTGTCTCACATGATTCAATCCCATGTTCAATTCATAAGCCATATTTATCCTCAATGCAAAGGGTGGTTCATGTCAAGCTTTCTGATGTTACTTTTCAGTTTTGGTTCACGAAGTTTTTAATTATCGTGGCTGACACATATGCAATTGATCTATCGCGATTGTTATCTTATAGAAGTATTTCAGCTCTGTCTGAGCCCATGAAGATATTTCTAGATGTCCAATCTATGCCCAACTCCATTCTCAGTTTGTTTCAATAATAATACTGCTGTAAATCCCACATGATGGTTCTGGTCCAGAAAAATTTACTCAAGTCTATCATGAAGCTGACATCATTAGAGCTCAGCTCTAGCAGAACCACCAAAGATTTCTGTATGACAGTAAATCTGAATGGGAAAATTCGTAATGAAGGGGTTAGCAACATTATCTACGCATAAGAGTGCTCCAACCAAAGAATATTTCAGATGAAGCCAGCAAACCCAAGGACGTCCAAGTCGTCGATTGGGATGTTGATCACGCTGACTTGACCTGGGTCAAGCCAGACAGTGATGGCGGTGCTCCCATCACAGGTTACCTAATCGAATTCAAAGAAAAGTTCGCCAAAGATTGGAAGAAGGGCATAGAAGTGCCTGGTGAGCAACTGAAAGGAACCGTACCCAATTTGAAAGAGAATAGCCAATACGAGTTCAGAGTGAGGGCTATCAACAAAGCTGGACCTGGTGAGCCTAGCGATCCTACGAAGCCAATCATAGCCAAGTGTAGATTCGTGAAACCTTTCATCATCGGTAACGACTTGAATAACATCATTATCAAAAAGGGTCAGGTAGCCAAATATGACATAAAGTACGGTGGCGAGCCAGAACCTGAAGTGCAGTGGTTCCTGGACAAAAAAGAAATAAAGCCTGACATGGAAGAACGCATCACCATCGACAAATACGAGAAAAACACCATCATCACAGTACGTCGATGCACAAGAGCTGACAGCGGTAAATACCGACTGGTACTCACCAACAGCTCCGGCACCTGCGAGGGTATCGCAGAGGTCATTGTTCTGGACAAACCCACGCCTCCTAAAGGGTTGAACGTCGAAGAAATACGAGCCGACCACGTGAAAATCAAATGGCAGAAGCCGGAAGACATGGGTGGTACCGAGCTCACTGGATACGTCCTCGAAAAGATGGACATGGATACCGGCAGATGGATCCCAGCTGGGGAAGTGGGACCTAACGATGACAACTTCACCTTCAAGAATTTGACGCCTAAGAAAAAGTATAAGTTTAGGGTGAGAGCGAAAAATAAGGAGGGCGAATCGGAGCCTTTGGAGACCACTGACTTCATTCTCGCCAAGAATCCGTACGATGAACCTGGCGCACCTGGTAAACCTGACATTATCGACTATGATAACAAGAGTGTCACTCTCAAATGGGCAAAGCCAGATAGTGATGGTGGTCGGCCGATCACGCACTATACTGTGGAAATCAAAGACAAATTTGCTGTTGACTGGAGTCCGGCAGGAAAAACTGAAGATGCTAATCCGGAAATCGTGGTTCCCGGTTTGAAAGAGAATATGGTTTATCAATTCCGTGTGGTGGCTCATAATAAAGCGGGGGCGAGTTTACCTTCCGAACCAACAGGAAACCACCTCTGCAAGCACAGGAACTGTAAGAATTCTTTGTCTGATTTGTTTGTGATTAATACTTTTTTAGTTATTCAAGATAGTTTTACTAATAGTTTTTGCAAAGCATATACACAAAATCACATCCACAGTTTACACTGTAGTACATTTTTTAAGCTATCCCTTCTTGCAAAGTTAATTGCCGTACCTTTTCATCCTAGGTAAATTTTAATCATGGCGTCAATTGCAAATCCAGGATAAAAATGTCTACGAAATATGGTTTGTGTACTTTCAGGTTTATCATCAAGTTTTCCTACATGTATTTTTTGAGATTCTTTTTGGAATTGTGACGTTTCGGCATATTGTACAGATCGTTAAACGTGCTAAACAATAAAACAACCAGCGATTCCACGAACCCCATTTATTTTATAGTGAAACCCAGGATAGACCGTGAAACGTTCAAATCGATCACCATCAAGGCCGGCAGGACACACAAGTGGGCAGTGGACTTCATGGGCGAACCTCCACCATCAGTCAAGTGGGTGTGGCGAGACGACATTCCATTAACCAACACCGAACGCATCAAAATAGAAAACGCCGACTACCACACCGACTTCACCCTAGTGAACGCCGTACGCAAAGACACCGGCAAGTACACGCTCATCATCGAGAACTGCAACGGAAAAGACACGGAAACGGTCGAGCTTACGGTGCTAGGCAAGCCGGGCTCGCCGAAAGGGCCTCTAGTCGTGTCTGACGTCACTGCAGAGAAGGCTAAGATCAGCTGGAAGAAGCCGGAAGACGATGGCGGCAGCCCGATCAAGGAGTACGAGATCGAGAAGATGGACACGGCGACAGGCAAATGGATCAGAGTGGGCCGTCTGCCGGCCGATAGGATGTCGCCGGATGGCAAAGGAGAATTCGAAGTCGCTGGACTCATTCCGGGATCGGAGTACAAGTTCAGAGTGACGGCTGTCAATAACGAGGGCGATTCTGAGCCGCTGGTCTCCGAAACACCGACTCTTGCCAAGAATCCATTCGGTGAGTTATTATTATTATTATTATTGTTCAACAATGTCTCATTTTATTCCAAATTTTTTGGGATTTTCTCTCCTCGTTTCAATAAAATGAAAATATGGATATTATTTCAATATACGTGTAGTAAGGACAAATCAGATGATTTGCCCCAAAATGTCACTGCATTTAAAAAATTTTCCTATCTTAGAGCCCATTAGAAAAATTCACTAGCTTGTAAATGCAAGATTAATTAACGAAAGCATCCTGTAACTCATTTGATTGCCAACGTCACCAATTGTCACTGAAAACTGAAAAGCTTCAAGACAGATACGACTTTGCTATTAAAATAATCATTTTTATGTTGAAAACGGAAGCAGATTCGGTCCCGAAACGTCCAAAGATAAGTGAAAATTTGATATTTTTTATGTATACCTTTATTCCTTTTTCTTCTCGGCTCTCTGATTGGAAAATACACGTATAATGAAATAATATTCATATTATTATTTTATTATTCATCTCTACGAATTTTAATGATGTTACATAATCATAAGGGACATGTTTCGGTCTTATGAAAGACCATCTTCAGCATAATTGGAAGGTCTACAATAGAAAAACAAACAATATTTGAAGTGAAAGAATTGCCTAGCTTGTGCTTGACTTACTTGGAGTTAAACAAATTTTTTGATGCTACTGTATCTTAAATTGTTGTCAATGCCCATAGCCAAGAATAAAAATGTTAATGAAAAAACAGGTTCTCAATAAATGGAGGGCTCCGTGTCCTGGAAGCGCATACTATTGTTTTCATTGAAAATTTAATTTATTGAGCACCACTTTTTCCATTAAATTGAATTCTTGGCTAAGGGCATTATAATTGATAACAATTCAAGCAAAAACTAGAGCTATTCTTTCACTTCAAATATCATTTGTTTTTGTTTTGTAGACCTTTCAATTAGGCTGGAGATAGTCTTTCATGAGACCGAAACTTGTCCCTTATGATTATGTAACATCATTAAAATTTGTGGAGATGATGTTGAAGTTCAACACGATATGTGGCAGCGACAATGGCTGCTTAACAAAATGTAATCTGTATTTTACCCCCTTTTGGGCAACACATTTTAATATGCTTGTACCGTATTTCACCATGATGTCGATAGTTTTAAACTGGACCAGAGATATTCTTATGGACAAATGATGACTTAACAGTCGAAAGAGCTCTGCTACGAGTGATAAATTTGAATAAATCATCTTGCTCGAAAAACAAAAAACAGACCTAGATGTAGTCAATAATGAGTATGCCCTCCTCAAACTTGAATTATAGCATTCAACTGCTCTGGCATTGGGTTGATCAAATTTCTGAAGCAGTCTTGAGGAAATACCTCAAATGCTCCTTAAAGAGTGAGTCGTAGCTCTCAAATTGTATATGACAAGACGGGACGGCAAATGTGTCTATGGATTTCATCCCAAAGATGATCATACTGATAAAAATTTGAAAAATCCATACTTTCTTGAAACACTTGTATCTTCACTTAAAACATGACATGAAACAAGAACCATAGTGTTAAGAAGGGCTAAACTTCAATCCAACACATGATGAAGCTAAGCTTAACCACCCATTATTGCCACAGAGCGTTTTGAAGTTATGGGTGAAAGAGTAACTTTTGTTTTTTCCTGTATACTGATCAAGTCATCAGATTATTTCAAGAATTGAAGTTCAAGCGAATACTCTGGAACATAAAACTAGAATTTGGTCGAAATTTCATCTGAATCGGACAAGAATTGAAAATGTTACAAGCGATCAATTAGGCAAAATGTTTTGCTGGCCGGTTTTTTTGCCGGTGTATTTCAGGATCTACATTTTTTCGGGGATTCACACTATGAGACAGCATTTGAGGTTTAGTTAGGATATTGTTACAAATCCCTAAAATATTGGCCTCGTTTAGTGCCTACCCCAATTCAAACGATCGAACAATTTCATTCACAGACGAACCTGGCAAACCCGGTACCCCAGAAATCACCGACTACGACAACAGAGGTGTCAATCTCAAATGGACTCCGCCAGCCAACGACGGAGGTGCTCCGATCGAGAAATACATCATCGAAAAGAAGGACAAATTCAAACCAGACTGGGAGAAAGCTACTGAAGTCCCTGCCGACAAACTGGAAGCTCGAGTCGACGATCTGAAGGAACGCGGCGAGTACCAATTCAGGGTCATTGCCGTCAACAAAGCAGGACCTGGCAAACCCTCTGATGCTTCCCAGATGCAAATCATCAAGCACAGAGCACGTAAGTTATCCCAGAACCGTACGTGGGTTCATTTTCTGCACCTTTATGTATTTCACAGTTAAGCCAAGGATCGACCGGACCAATCTCAAACCAATCATCGTTCGCGCCGGCAAACAAATCAGGTACGACGTTGACGTCAAAGGCGAACCAGCTCCTACTTGCACTTGGTACCACGTCGACAAAGAAGTCAAATCAGAGGGCAACATCGAAATAGTCAACGTCGAATACAACACCAAAATCACCATAAACAATTCGATCAGAAAGAACACCGGGGTGTACAAGATACGAGCAGAGAACACTCATGGGTTCGATGAGGCTGAGGTAGAGGTCACCGTGCTGTCCTCACCTTCCAAACCGAAAGGGCCACTCAAAGTAACTGATGTTACTAAGGGCGGTTGCAAGCTGAAGTGGGACAAACCAGAAGACGATGGCGGCAAACCAGTCACCGGTTACGTAGTTGAAAAATTGGATAAGCAAACAGGCCGGTGGGTTCCGGTAGGAAGAACCAACGACACCGAAATGGATGTCAAAGGGTTACAGGAGGGACACGAATACGATTTCCGCGTCAAAGCGGTCAACGATGAAGGGGAGTCCGAACCTTTGGAAACGGACGACTCCATAATCGCGAAGAACCCTTACGATATTCCCGGCAAACCAGGAACACCCGAAATCGAAGATTGGGACTCCGATCGCGTCGATCTCAAATGGGCGGCTCCGAAGAGCACTGGAGGTGCACCTATCACTGGCTACGTCATAGAAAAGAAGGAGAAATTCTCTACCTCATGGGACGAGATATTAGCGACAGATGTAAGTATGACAATTAATTAAATGTCGGTTGCTCAGTGATCTGTTCTCCTTTCAGACGCCATCTTGTGAAGCTCGCGTGCCTGGACTCAAAGAGGGCAACACCTACCAGTTCAGAGTTCGCGCTGTCAACAAAGCAGGCCCAGGAGAACCGTCAGATCCAACTGGCCAACACGTTGCCAAGCCTAGACACCGTAAGTTTGAGCTCATTGTTCAGCTAAACTAATAATTCCACAATAATTCAATGATAGAATCAGTAGAGTTCATTGATTCGCCAGAAAAACTATAGTCAGCCCAGCTCTCGAGCCTTTTCTTAGCAGCATTACCTACATTATGATTTGACTCCAGTTGGAGAATTGCTCTCAATATAACACGGGAAGATTTACATATTATTCAGTTAGCTTCTACAGTTATTTCAGTACTCAGTTTATGTGTAGGTTCTATACCATATACACTCCGCGGCAAAAAAAAACGGCCACCAAATAATCTGCCCAAATTGTTCACACTGTAAGTTTTTCAGTCCTTCTCCCATGTTTGTGAAATTTCGATCAAATCCTAGATTCATGTTCCGGAATGTTAGCCTAAATACTAGTTTCCGTTAAGAGCTGATGACGTGATCATTATACAGGGAAAAACCAAAGTTACTTCTTCACCCACTACTTCTTAACGCTCTGCGGCGAATTTTTGTGGTTGAACTTGGCTTCTTTATGCTTTGGATTGAAGTGTGATCCCTTCTCAACACAATAGTTTTTTATTCACGCCAATATCTTATTTTTACAAGAAGATACAAGTGTTTCGAGAAAGTATGGCATTTTTCAATTCTTATCAACAATAATCAAACTGTTATGTTTTCATTTCACATACTGTATATTTGTGGATTCGGTAGCACCCTCTGTACCGAGAATCGTTAATAACAAGCGAATCTATAATTATTATTCATTCTCATAACGATTATCGGTACACAGTGCTACCGAATCCACAAATATACAGTATGTGAAATGAAAACATAACAGTTTTCTCCCCTTCTCGTGAATAGAAAATTAGTCTAATGAGAAACCAAATCAAGAAACAGGTTTTCTTGTTCTCTGTGATATGCGCAAGGTCGTTTCTGAATTGGTAAGACTTTCAGGATCAGAAGACAAGAAATTTGATGATGGTGTCTGAACACCCTGATTTGGGATATTTCCACTAGGAACGTTTGGTGTACTTGAAAGATTGTTATCAGCTGAAAAACTAGAGAGTTACTGGGTATTGCATCATTACTGTCGAAATCTTCCGGATACGAGTAATATTAATTAATGTGTATTACTTATTTCTTCCTCATTTTCATATCACTTACCTGAAAAACCTTAATCACAAAAAACAAATAAATGCAGACCTGTAGTCAATAACAAGTGAGGTACGTAGTTTTTGAAAGGTATCAGATTAGTATAGATGTAGTTTTCATTAGGTATTAGATTAGTATAGAGGTTAGATAATTTATACGACGCTATAAAAGCAGATGATATTTCATCATTGCTCATGTAAGATGAAAGTAGAGGCCATGGCACCATATCATGAGCATATTTTTATATTGAAACTATCATTGGGCACCAAAGATGTGTATACGACGCTATGAAAGTTCAGAGAACTGGAGATTTTTTCCACAAACTACGTACTTATCCCACTCGACTGTCTTGGTTTTTCCACACATACTACGTTCCTAGCTTACCCGACTGCCAATATGGACTAAAAAACAAAAACAAAAGAAAGTTAAAACAATGCCAACATTTTTTGGCGAAAAATAAAGACAAGTGAGCTAGGTACGTAGTTTATGAGAGACAAATCAAGACAGTCGAATGTGCTTTTTTTTACTTTCTTTTGTTTTTTGTTTTGTTTTCTATTGGCAAGTGATTATCTAGAAACTTGTAAATTTTTTAGTTTTTTCATCGTATCTCCCGAACTATTGAATTCAGAGAAAAATGTTATTCGGATTCTTTGTAGATTCTATCATAAAGAATAATTTTGGTTTTATAACATTTTCAGATATTTTCAGTTGTTTTCGAGATATTTGGAATTTTCTGAGATTAAAATTTTCAACACTTTTGTTCCATCTTCCAATAAACAAAAGGAAAAAATATTTCATGGTTCAGTGGAAGTCGATGAGCTTCATCTATCGATAATCTTTGTTTTTCAATATATCTTCATGGTACCCTATGGGTCGTTCACATTTTTTTTTTTTTTCATATTTTTTACTTTATTTCCTGTACTATTGGGTTTACAGAGACAATTATAGATAATAATTTGTAGGCAATGTTCCAGTGAATAACATTGCACTTCAGATAATTTTCGATTCTTCCATTTGTTTTCGATGTATATTGAATTGAAAGGATTTCAAATTTTGATGTTTTGATTTTCATTTGTTTTTCCATTTTCCGATGGATGCACGAAAAAATGGTGATATAATAATTTGTTGCGTCATCAAAGAGGCATACGTTCCTTTTTGCATTTAGTCTATTGGTTCAGGAGATATGTCGTTTTATAGCGAACCGTGTGTTTCGGAAAATCTCCTTGAAAAACCCACTTGGAATTTTCCGACCCCGCTCAATTTCAATAGGCTTCGTCTCTTCCAGATAGAGTTTTTTTCACGAAAAATGAAATCGATCGGACCACTTTTGCGATTTGTAGAGTGGTCACAAGAAACTTCCGGTGAAAAATCGAAAAAACCCGGAAAAACCATCTTAGAGTTTCCCGATTTCCTTCATATTTCAATGACATAATATTGTTTTGAGTACAATAAGATGGCAAAATTTCAAGTCGATATGTCAAAGGGTTCCGGAGATATCTCGATTTATGATTAACACAGAGTACAGACAGACAGACCACACACAAAAACCAAAGTTGCTCAAAATTCGATGGGGATCATTTTCTCCAAAGTAACTATACCTCTATCTCGATTAGTTTCCGAGATAGCATTTTTGGCAAGGCCGTAGTATACTCCACTATGTATAGCGTCGTATAACAAGTATGCCCTCCTCGTTTTTGAATTCCAGAATTCAACGGCCGTGGCATCGAGTTGATCAATTTTCTCGAGTGGTCTTGAAGAATTGCCTGAAATTCTCCTTGATGGGCAAATCGTACCTCTTAAAGAGTCTCTGTTTAGACCAGACGAAGGCGAATGAGCCTCTGATGCTCTATAGGTTCTGAATTATTGTTGATAAAAATTAAAAAATTCCATACTTCCTCGAATCACTTGTATCTTCTCTTGGAAAGAAGATATTGAGGTGAATATAGAACCATTGTGTTAAGAAGGAACGAAAAAGGATCAAACTTCAATTCAAAAAATGATGGAGCAGAAAGTTTGAGAATGGTTCTGAATTATTGTTAATAAAAATAAAAGTAAATCCATACATTCTAAAAACACTTGTATCTTCTCGAAAAAAGTGGTTATCGACGTGAATCAAAAACCATTGTGTTGATTCGATTCAAAACATAATGAAGCTGAGTTCAGCCACTCACCTTTTCTACAGGGCGTTGGGAAGTCAAGGGTAAAAGAGTAACTTTTGTTTTTCCCTGTATAATGCTCAAGTCATCAGCTCTTCTCAGGAACTAATATTCAGACTAACATGCCGAAAAAATAATATATGATTTTCTCGAAATTTCATCAAAATCGGACAAGAATTGAGAAAGTGACAGGGCGAACAATTTGGCAAAATCTTTTGGTGGCTGGTTTTTTTTTGCCAGTGAGTGTAGTTTATAGAAAGACAATTCATTGAGTTCACCTTATTTATACACTCTTGTTCATTCTAGTAAGTCCAGTTGGGACGATGTATTCTTCAATCTACTTACTCAATATTCGTGAATGATAAAGCATCAGACACTCTCTCCAGTGTTCGGCTCCGCCACATTTCACTGAAATCTCACAAACGACAATTGAAGAAATCAATTCAATAACCCTGTATCATTTCAGTGCGCCCCCTCATCAATCGCGAGAAGCTACACACCGTCAAAGTCCGAGCAGGCCAACTGGTCAAATTCGATGTGGACGTCAAGGGTGAACCTCCACCGGTGTGCACCTGGAGTTTTGCTCACAAGCCTCTAGAAAACGGCGGCAACGTCAAAATCGAAAACGAAGATTACAACACCAAACTAGCCCTATCCGACACCAGCAGAAAGCACACAGGAACGTACACGCTGAGAGCGGAAAACGAATCTGGATTCGACGAAGCACCAGTCGAGGTCATCATACTCGACAAGCCAGGCAAACCAGAGGGGCCTCTGGAGGTGAATGATGTCCACAAGGAAGGCTGTAAGCTCAAATGGGACAAGCCCAAAGACGATGGCGGTTTGCCCATTTCTGGCTACGTCGTCGAAAAACAAGATTTGGCTACGGGACGTTGGGTGCCGGCTGGATTCGTCGACGCTGATAAAACAGATCTTGAAATCACCGGTTTGGAACCAAACAAAAAGTACAACTTCAGAGTGAAAGCGGTCAATGAAGAAGGCGAATCCGAGCCGCTAGAAGGAGACAATTCGATTCTCGCCAAGAATCCTTACGATGTTTCAGCTCCTCCTGGTCTTCCGGAAATCACCGACTGGGACGAGCATTCTGTCAAACTCAAATGGGACAAGCCCGTTAGAGATGGAGGCTCTCCTATCACCGGGTACGTCATCGAAGCCATGGATAAATTCAGCGGCCAGTTCGTCAAGGTTGCCGAGGTCGGACCGCAATGCAACGGGACTGTCCCGAGACTGGAAGAAGGAAACCAATACAAGTTTAGAGTTCGTGCCATCAACAAGGCTGGGCCATCTGAACCATCCGAACAAACCAACTGGCATACAGCCAAAGCTAGATTCCGTAAGTATTCCCTCAATTTTTTATACTTCAAAGAGTAACATTTCTCAGTAATCTCACTGATTGAACATTGTGCAAACGTTGACAACAAGCGAGTTTTGGATTAGCTAGGGCGTTGCAAAAAGCAAGTTTACCGGATCCTCTACCAGAACTTGCCAGGACCCGTCAATTCGTATTCTTGGGGGGGAGCATTTTTGCTAGCCAACCCAAGTTGATATGGTCATCCCTCTAACCCCTAGCAACTTCGATATTGGAATTTCAAATTGAATTACCGTAATTTCATCACATCATTCCAATGCCCTTTCCATTGCGAATACTTCGATGCATCGTTTGAAAATCGGTTTGAGTTTAACAGTTATTGAATCAAGTCAACACTTAACAAGAATTGGCAAACAAACGATGATATAAAGACATCTGGTGCAAACACCATACTAATTCAGATGAATAGATGTTTCCATTGAGATTTATTTCAATGAAAAACAGTCCATCAAGATGGTTGCTCAAAGTTATAACACGAATGTCGATTTGTCAATTATTGTTAAGTAGGTATTGATTTCATTCAATAACTCTGTCAAATCTCACCGGAGTATGCGCAATAGAGAGGGCTTTAAAATGATGTTCTGGAAGTATATAGGGTAGTTTCATTTGAAAATTGAAAGTTTGAAGTAGCTAAAAGTTAGGGAGATGAAAATATCAAATTGGCTTGACTGCCAAAATGCTTCCTTCGAGTGTAAAAATTGACAGGGCCTGTTCTGTTGAAGCCGTGTCTCACGGTCCAACAATTTGATGAATCTACATATCTGTGATGTCATCAATGAGGTCACGTCAAACAGCAGCTGAAATTTCGAGCGTGTTCTAAATATATGACATGTTGGATAAAATAATCAGGTTAGAATGTTTGTTTTCATGTCTTCATCATTGATTAAATGATCATTATTTTTTATCTTTGGAATTAATAAGAAATAATACTTGCTCCAATCCCAAATTCATGCTATGATGACTAGGGCTCGGTCATGATGTCACCTCATTCCTGCAAATATACATTCACGCTTATTAATATTCGTCTTTTCAATATATGGGTGGATTTAATTTAATAGAAATCTGGAACATCACTCATCCATTTTTAGGTACAGTTTTGGAAACTATTGAAATCTTCTAGTCTGACTCCATCAGAAATCATTAGGTAGGACTCCTCTACCCTCTATCAATATTTCTTCTTTGAATCCATTGTCTTCTCCATATCTCCCTCTTTTTTCACTCCCTGTACAAATGCTGTACAAAATACCATATATGTAATAAATTTTTAGTTTATTTTTCCATATGATTTCTCCCATTGTAAAAAACCTACTCAGGCAATATTTTTCTTCAAATTGTGTGACAAGGATTTCTTGACGATTCAAACCATTTGAGTCAAACAGGCAAGAATGACGTCACATCAAACAAATTTTATCAAATTCTTGGACCGTGAGACACGGCCTTTAGAGGATTCGGTTTTCTGTAGGAGCACAACAGAATCACAAGCGTTATTCAAACAGCGGAAAACCATTCAAGATCTTGCTAGACAGGAGCAGAATTGTGAAATTTATGAGACTCTTTGAGTTAAAAATAGAAAGGAAACGCAATCAGTTTCGGTATATGTACCATTCAAGAGTAAGTTTTCTTCTCCTGAGCTCACCCAATCCCTTTACAAAATATAATTTTCAATTTATTTCAGTGAAACCACTCATCGATCGTACCAACCTGAAACCGCTATCAGTAAAGGCAGGTCTATCGATAAGTTTGGACGTGAACATACAAGGGGAACCCCCACCAACAGTCACGTGGCTATTCAACGGGCAAGAAATAACATCGTCCGAGGAGATGAAAATCGATAATATCGATTACAACACAAAGTTGTTCGTCTTGAGAGGCAAAAGAGCCCAGTCCGGGAAATACACGATCATAGCCAAGAACGAAGTAGGAGAAGACAGTGCCGACATAGAGATTTCTGTGCTGGGCAAACCTTCGTCTCCGAAGGGACCGCTAGAGGTCAGCGATGTGACCAAGCACGGGTGCAAACTCAAATGGAAGAAACCAGAAGACGATGGCGGCAGTCCGATAGATCATTACGAAATTGAGAAGCTGGATCCTCTGACAGGCCAATGGATAACTTGTGGCAGGAGCAATGAGCCAGAAGCGAACATCACGGGGTTGCAGGAGGGCAAACCTTACAAGTTTAGGGTCAAAGCCGTGAACAAGGAAGGGGAATCTGAGCCTCTTGAAACTGAGAAAACCATCATTGCGAAGAATCCGTTTGGTAAGTGAATTATTCATATAACTTCCTATTCATATTGATTTCATCGCGAATAAACCTCTAATAGAACTAAAATATACGAAATAGAGATCTAAGTCGCTAGTTTATGGAAAGCACAACATTTATTTTTTTCTGGCTTCCTTTTAATTATAATAATAATAATAATAAGTTTATTCATAATAAGAATAACAATAATTATAACATCAATTACAATGAACCATATACATGACATAATCATTGATATATTAATAAGTATATAAAATATATGAATAAAATGAGAAAAATCCACAGAAGGACGAGTCCTTGTGCGTGGATTACAAATAATTAAGAATACATTTTCATAGATAAAAAAAACAAACAAACAAACAAAAATAATCATCATCTCGTGCATAATTATTCTCACCATTAAATTTATTTGACAGTGTAGCTTATTTATATGTAGGTATATTGAAAGAATTAATTCAAAATCACACAAATATTGTTGATATATTAAATGATAATGAATGATAATAGGTGAAAATAGGGTGATAGTAAATGATAGTAAATGATGATAATAAATGATGATAATAAGTGAAAGGGAATGATAATGATAATGATAAAACTTAATAAATATTGTATATATGGTATTTAATTTTTCCTAATTATTATCTATAAGTTTATGAATCGAAATACGAGGCGTTTCAGATAAATGAACATTGACAAATTTTTTCAATTTATATATTATGGATTTGACTGATTGTATGTCGTGGGGTAAATGATTTATTGCTTTGGTCCCTAAAATTTCGTATGATCTCTGTCCAATCGATTTGGCAGCAAAAGGTAATTTATATTGATTTTTATTTCGTGTAATGTAAGAATGCTGTTGCTTCAGAAGTTGGTTTTCCTCTTTGTATCTTTTCATAATCAATGCTTTATAGTGAAGTTGTCAAATATCGAATATGTTTGTTTCATTATATAGTTGTTCTGATGCATATCTAGAATTTTTGTTGAGTATTAGTTTCAGAAATCTCCTTTGTATCACTTCAAGCGGTCTTAGGTTAGTTTTCAGAACCCCTCCCCAACCTACGATGCAATACGTAATGTGACTCTGGACAAGGCCATAGTAGAGTGTTTTTTTATGTTTGAGGTCAAATATGTATTGAAATTGTCCAAATTTGTAAAGGACACATCTCAATTTTTTCACAATATAATTAATGTGGTGATTCCATCGTAAGTGAGAGTCCATCATAACTCCTAGATACTTTATATGTGTTACGGATTTAATTTGCAACTGATTCTGAATCGACAAAATATTGAAGTCTGGAAGAGACGACTGGTGGTTACAAAACGGTAGGAAAAATGTTTTATTCACATTGAGAGATAGCTTTTTGTAATCAAACCAGTCCTTTATCAACACCAAATCGCCTTCTGCTTTTTGTTTCACTATCGACCAACTCTCTCCTGTGTAAAATATAACAGTATCATCAGCAAAGCTGATGATTCTGCCAGAGTTATTGAGTGAAAACAAACCATTTACATAGATGCAAAACAGTATTGGCCCCAAGACCGTCCCCTGAGGAACACCACAATCTATTATTTCTGGGTTACTTATAACTTTTCTAATCCTGACTACCTGTGTTCTATTTTCGAGGTATGATGAAATTAATTTCATTGCATTTCCTCTTATTCCATTTCTTTCTAGAGTTGATAAAAGAATTGGATGACTAACTGTGTCAAACGCTTTTGACAGATCTATAAAAACCCCTATTGATGGTTTACTATTGTCGAGGGCTCCATAGACTTGTTTGGTGAATTCAGCTAATGCATCTTGTGTACTTTTCCCATCTTGAAATCCAAACTGTGAATTGGATATCAAATTATGTTTTTTGAAATAAGAGTTCAGTCTAGTTTTCAGAAGTTTCTCAAAGATCTTGCTTAAATTTGTTATCAAAGATACTGGTCGATAGTTTGCCACATCTTCTCGATCGCCCGATTTGTAGATAGGAATAACAATTCATTCACCACTTATCATATCACACGTCAATTCTTATTTTTGAAACCCTCATTTCCTGTATTCACCCAGTGTACATTATTTGAGGGCATACACGGTGAGTCACAATATCACCCACAAACTTTATCAATTTTAAATGGCATCTCGTCCGAGATGCCTACAAGATGATTATTTCAATTTTCTTGAGATCCGGAAATGTTCAGGATATTGACAAATATTTCGATACCTATGTCTCAAAATAATTGACAATATCAGATTACGCCGATTACGGCACCTTGACAAACAATGATGTCTCTACTTGATATTTCTTTTTAGGGCCTATCTTTTATGGGAATCGATGATTTTTACTAATGTCAAAAACTAATTACTTCTTTCACCTAGGTCTTGGTCAGGTTTACTTTCTAAATACAGGTAGAAGAGAAATAAAATGTAATCCTTTGTTTTTCATACTATGCATTTACTAAAATGAAATATCTGATAATACAGTTGGTCGGATTTATTCTGGTTGTGAACTAGATTGGAGTGAGCAAAAAGTTCAAGAGCAAAAGATTGATGTACTAAAGAGACAAAAATACAGTTCTCCAAGAAATTAACGTACCACCAAGTTTCATATTTTTATTAGATTGAACTATTGAAATAACAACGTTTTTATTCTTTGTGTGATTTTAGTATCTAGCTTATTGTTTGAGGAAACAATAAAAATTCGATTTGACTCCAAATTTTTACTGTATGTGTTTTCAAGACCATTGAGATTACTCAATAACCCCAATCATAATCCTTTTGAAATTTTAGGGCTTCTTCAGTCTCCAACCATACTGAATTTTGGCACCATGAAAGCGTATACAGGGAGGTTATAAATAAAAACAATTCATACTTCCAACTTCAACATCCTGTATATCAAAAACGCACTTTATTTGCTAGAATATCACAAGGAATCAACCATTGAATTTTTTCAGTGTTACTTAGATACACCCTGTATAGAAATACTCTTGAATCACAGGGGTTAATTTTCTCTTTGCTTTAGAAGTATCGGAAACAACGAATCTGCTCTCGACGTGAAAATGGAAAATTTATTATTGGCAAATTGTCTTTGAATTTTTGTATTAACACTTCTCATTGACAAAAGCTGATACTAACAAGTGAGTTACCGGATGTTTTCATTAATTTTCAGTAACATGAATGAACTCTTACTGTTATTGGTACTCACCTCGAGCTGCTTCAAGTCCATTCAATTTTCTCCCTGTAGAAGTCCTGAATGTAACGACGAAAGCAATCAAGACCGATTCCATAACAGAACAAATATGAATTATTATTTATATTAATTTTTCAATCAGTTGCACCTATTTGAACGCTACACTTGAACAACCTCTCAAAATTCAACTAAAACGCGATTGAGAGTACCTGAAGTCTCAACCAGTCTCTAAACTTCCGCTTTACAGATGAGCCTGGCAAGCCTGGCAGACCAGAGCCCAAGGACTGGGACAAGGACTTCGTGGAGCTGGCATGGAAACCGCCAGCTAGTGACGGAGGGTCTCCAATTGAGAAGTACATCATCCAAATGCATGACAAAGCAGGCCGTGGCTGGATAGACGCTGCATCAGTTCCCGGAGACAGAACCACCGGAAGAGTTGAGAATGTCGAAGAAGGTCACGAATACGAGTTCCGCATTGTCGCTGTCAATAAAGCCGGACCGAGTGAGCCTAGCGATCCATCGAAGTCAGTCATTGCTAAGCCTAGATTTTGTAAGTTTTTTGGCTATTTTTATGGAATCACGCTTCACATAATGTTTTTTTCTCACAGTGGCTCCGAAAATCGATCGCAAAAATCTCACGAAGAAGGTTTTACGCACAGGACAACTATTGCGGTTGGAGGCCGATGTCAAGGGTGAACCAGAGCCAGTAGTCACTTGGACACTAAAAGATCAACCTCTGAGAAACAACGACAGACTCAAAATCGACAATGAGGACTATCACACCAGCTTCGTTTTACAAAAAGTGCAAAGAAGCGACACCGGTACATACACCGTCACTGCAAAGAACGATTCTGGAGTAGATACCGTCGATGTTGAGATTCTGATAATCGAGAAACCATCGAAACCTAAGGGACCTCTCAAAGTATCCGATGTCACGGCAGATGGCTGCAAGCTGAAATGGGAAGCACCTGAAGACGATGGTGGCGAACCAATAACTGGCTATCTCGTAGAACGCATGGACGTAGATACGGGAAGATGGGTCCCAGTGACGACCACGAAGACTCCAGAGGCCGAAATAACAGGTCTCATAGAAGGCAAGGACTATCAATTCAGGGTGAAAGCCATCAACGCTGAAGGTGAATCGGAGCCGCTCGTCACTGACGTTCCGACGACGGCTAAGAATCCGTACACAGAACCTGATACGCCTGGAAAACCAGAACTCAAAGACTGGTCCAAGAATCACGCCGATCTCAAATGGGCTCCTCCAAAGAACGATGGTGGTGCACCGATCGAGAAATATATAATCGAAAAGAAAGACCCAATTACAGGAAAGTGGCAAAAAGCTGTTGAGGTGCCAGGAAATAAGACCGAAGCCAAAGTGCCTGATTTGATAGAAGGACAAAAGTATCAATTCCGCGTCAAAGCTGTGAATAAGGGAGGGGACAGTAAACCTTCACCACCATCAGAGACTATAACGGCTAAAGACAGATTCGTGCCACCTAAAATCGATAGAACTAACCTGAAAGACTTGACCGTTAGAGCGGGACAGCACATCAGACTGGATGTCAAAGTTAGTGGTGAACCACCACCAACAAAGACATGGTTCTTGAACAAAGCGCGCATCGAGAATCGAAACGACATCAATGTCGACCTCGAAGATTACAGGACGAAATTGGTGATAAACGTGGCAAAAAGAGAACACACTGGTACCCTAGTACTCAAGGCTGAGAACGATTCTGGCCGAGACGAGGCCAGCATTGAAATCAAAGTACTAGACAAGCCATCCAAACCAGAGGGCCCACTCAAAATCAGCGACGTACACAAAGAAGGGTGCACGCTGAAATGGAACCCACCGCAAGACGACGGTGGGGTACCCATCGAATACTATGCCGTCGAGAAATTGGATACGTCCACAGGACGATGGGTGCCCGCAGGTCGATCCAAAGAACCGAAGATCGAACTGAACAACTTGGAACCGGGTCAGGAATACAAGTTCAGAGTGTCGGCGGTGAATGCCGAGGGAGAATCCGAGCCTTTGGAGGCGGAACAAACGATAGTAGCGAAGAATCCGTTCGACGAACCGGGAGCCCCCGGAACACCCGAGGTGACAGATTGGGATAAGGATCGTGTCGACTTGAGATGGACTCCACCAGTCAACGATGGTGGATCTCCAATCACCGGATACGTTATCGAGAAGAGAGAGAAAGGGTCGCCTAAATGGACGAAGGCAGGCGAAACTGGGCCGTACGAAACGAAGGGTACCGTCGATAATTTGGACGAGGGCGTCGAGTACGAATTCAGAGTGAGAGCTGTCAACGCTGCAGGTCCTGGCGAACCGAGCCAAGCGTCCAAATCAGTCATCACGAAGCCGAGAAGACGTGAGTATCACCTGAATTCAACGATTGCTGTTTGGTTTAATACATTTAATTTGGATTCTAGTGGCTCCTAAGATCGATCGCCGCAACCTGGTTAACTTGACAGTCAAAGAAGGCGAGCCGATTTACATTGATGTCAAAGTCAGTGGTGAACCGGCTCCCGACGTCACATGGTACCAAGACGGAAGGACTGTCACCAGCACGTCACATAAACGTATCGATAATATCCCATATAACTCCAAGTTCTTCAACGACAAACCCGAAAGGAAGGACACTGGAGTTTATAAAATAGTCGCCATCAACAAATACGGACAGGATCAAGCTGAGATCGAAATAACAGTAGTTTGTGAGTAGTCGATGCAAATGTTCGTTCGATTCGATTCATAATCCACGTTTCTTTTTTTACAGCCAAGCCAGGACAACCCGAAGGACCATTGGAAGTTTCTGATATCCATAAAGACAACTGCACATTGAAATGGAAGAGGCCAAAAGATGACGGAGGTGAACCGATTGAAAATTACGTGGTTGAAAAATTCGACCCCGAAACTGGAATATGGTTGCCTGTCGGTAAAACGAGTGGTGCCATACCAGAAATGAAAGTAGAAGGACTCATTCCTGGACACGAATATAAGTTTAGAGTAAAAGCAGTGAACAAGGAAGGAGAATCGGAGCCTCTTGAAACTGCAGGAACGATCGTAGCCAAAGATCCTTACAGTAAGACGTTCCTAATTCTTATCGTACATGAAATGATACAATTTCCATATTTCTAGCTATTCCTGCCAAACCGGGTGCTCCTGAACCTCATGATTGGTCAGCTAATCACGTTGACCTGAAGTGGGCTCAGCCTGTTTCAGATGGAGGAGCACCAATTACCGGTTACATCATCGAAATGAAAGATAAGTACAGTCCCATGTGGGAGAAGGCCCTAGAAACAACATCTCCTAATCCGACTGCATCGATCAATGGGCTCATCGAAGGTAACGAATATCAGTTCAGAGTGATTGCCCTTAACGACGCTGGACCTAGCCCACCCTCTGATGCCAGTAAAACATTCACAGCCAAACCCAGATTCTGTAAGTCTCACTGTCACATAACTATTTCTGGATGTAGTAATGTTTTTTCTGTGACAGAAAAAAAGTTTTACATTTCATCTCTGTTGGCAGGTTACAAAATATGACTTTCCATAAAATTACTGGATATACAGGGGTGATTCATGAGGAGACTCACATAGCCAAATGGTGAGAATAGGGAAAATAAAGACGGGTTCGTGTATATACATGAAAAAATTTGTTGACCCTCCATAACGAAGACACTATGTGAAATTGTCATATAAGTTTGATGGCCGATATTTCAGAAATGATTAATCGTAATTTGCTGAAATTTGGCAGCGTAGTTTCTCCCTTGAAACTATTCAAGATGGCATATTATGAACAAAATAATCCAGATCCGGACTTTTGATAAATTTCACCAGATTCAGAAAGATCAGACAAAATGCCATGAGAATTGCATCTAGCGGTTGTAAGTGACGTCATGTACGTGCACGAATGAAATATTTTGCGTGCACATCACCGTGCCTATAGTCACTGGGTCAAAAATATGGAACACAATCGTTCAAATGAATTTTCAATTTCGACCTGGCTGATAACTTTTATTTGGGTTTATGTGAATTGATTTTTTGTACATTTTTATTGGATAGAAATTGACAGAAGAGATGAGCTGGAAAAAAATGTTATGTTAAAAATGTGAGCAGATCTTATGGCATTTTACCTGATCTTTCTGAATCTGATGAAAGTTCTCGAGAAAAGCGATCACAAAGTGCACTTTTATGACATAACATAAAACGTGAATTTTCCCCAGTCCGGATCTGAATTTTTTCCTCTCAATATGCCATCTTGAATAGTTTCAATAAAGAAACGTTGCTGCCAATTTTCAGCCAATCACGATGAATTATTTCTGAAATATCGGTCAACAAAGGTATATGGCAATTTCTACGTTATGGATGCCCAAAAAATGTTTTCATAAATATAAATCCAACTCGTATTGATTTTTCCCTATTCATTTTTCCGCTATGCGAGTCTCCTCATGAATCATACTATATATAGGTACGCTTCACGGCTTTTGTGGTGCCAGTTCCGAAAAATAAGCCAATAACACCGTCTCCGAGAAAGAACTGCAACTCCTTCATCTTCCATTCCACTTCACGGTTACGTTAATTACTAAACAACCACTATGTTCACAATATTTAAAAATTAAATCACATAATTATATTGACAGATATTTGATTACTCCAAAAGGTTTCCATAGCAACAAAGATGCCTGCAACTCTTACCATTTAAAAACTTCAAAGTTCACATTGACAATATTTTGATTTTAATATAATTTGATATCTTCTCAATATCGAATCGTCGTCCTCCCTGTCACAGAAAAAAAAGTGTATTTTTCACGAAAAAATATTAGATTTTCTCTTGTCTAATAAATAACTATTCTTTCAGTGGCTCCCAAAATTGACAGAAGATATCTCCACGATGTAACGATCTCAGCGGGATCACCGCTGAAATTCGAAGCTAACATCATCGGTGAACCACCGCCGACTGTGGAGTGGCGTTTCAATGGAAGTCTCATCAAGAACGACAACCGCACGACAGTCGACAACGTAGACTATAATACCAAGGTCGCCATCCGTCCCGTCAACCGTGACGACACTGGCGAATACAAGGTGACGGCCTCCAACAGCTCTGGAAAAGATAGCCACGTCATCAACGTTACTGTCACCGACAAACCTACACCGCCACAGGGCCCGCTGCAAGTATCTGACGTCAACAAGAACGGTTGCAAGCTCAAGTGGAAGCGCCCTAAAGATGATGGCGGTACTCCAATCGAATACTACCAGGTCGACAAAATGGATCCAGAAACTGGAGTCTGGGTTCCGTGTGGCAGATCCACTGATCCAAGTAGGCTATTTGAAACTAAGAAGAATGATGCGAACGATTTTCAAATGTTATTTTATGTTTTCAGACTTCGAGGTGACTGGACTGACTCCAGGACACGAGTACAAGTTCAGAGTAGCAGCAGTCAACGCCGAAGGAGAATCCAAACCATTGGAAACTGAAACGGCCATCGTTGCTAAAAATCCGTTCGACGAACCGGGTGCACCTGGACATCTCAAAGCCACTGACTGGGATAAAGATCACGTGGACCTTGCCTGGACTCCCCCGAAAGACGACGGAGGTTCACCGATCACCGGATACGTCATCGAAAAGAAAGACAAGTTCGGCGATTGGGAGAAAGCTCTCGAAGTGCCAGGAAACGAGCTCAAGGCCACTGTATCCGATCTCATCGAAGGACAGCCTTACCAGTTCCGAGTGCGTGCTGTCAACGCAGCTGGCCCTGGTGACGCTAGCAATGAAACACCTACGATCATCGCCAAGCCACGTAATCTCGCTCCGATGATAGACAGAACCAACCTCATCGAGGTCAAGATACGTGCTGGCCAAAACTTCAACTTCGACGTTAAGGTAACCGGTGAACCGATGCCTACGACGAAATGGTTAATGAAGAATAAGGAAATCAAGAGCGGAGACGGAACTAAAGTGCAACACGGAGACTACAATACCAAGATTAGTGTACGCAATGCTACGCGCGCTGAATCTGGGACTTACACTATCACCGCAGAGAACGTGAACGGCAAAGACATCGCCGAAGTCGAAGTCATCGTACTGGACGTACCAAGTCCGCCAGGAGGCCCGTTGAAGGTGTCCGATGTGCATGCCAACGGGGCCAAACTGAGTTGGAGGCCACCCGCAGACGATGGCGGTCAACCAATCGATAGGTACGTAGTGGAAAAAATGGACGAGGCAACTGGACGTTGGGTCAATGCCGGCGAAACTGACGGCCCCGAGACATCCTTAGCTGTCGATGGATTAGTCCCCGGACACAAATACAAGTTCAGGGTGAGGGCTGTCAACAGACAAGGTAAGTCGGAGCCTCTACAAACCACCCAAGCAGTTGAGGCAAAGAATCCGTTCGACGAACCTGGCAAAACGAATGCTCCGGAAATCACCGATTACGATTCAGACTTCGTGGAACTCAAATGGGACAAACCTGAGAATGATGGAGGATCGCCAATCACGGGATATATCATCGAAAAACGTGATAAGTTTAATCCTAACTGGGAAAAATGCTCGGAAGTGGAAGGCGATGTACCGAAAGGCAAAGTGAAGAATCTCATCGAAGGAACCCCATACGAGTTCAGAATACGTGCCGTTAACAAGGCAGGACCTGGTGAACCGAGTGACGCATCTAAAATCCATGTAGCCAGACCCAAGAATCGTAAGTATCGCATACATCGCCATAATAATTACTGCTATCACGTTTTTATAGATTTTTCTTCATTTTCTTTCTATATCTCTACAAATGAAAAGATTAGTATTATTGATGGAGACGAAAAGAAGAAATCTAGAAAAAATAATATTCCTCATCTTCGATTAACCTACAATATTACGAATTTTCATTATTTCAGTTGCTCCACGAATCGACAGAAATCACTTCATGGACCTCAAAGTCAAGGTTGGGTCGTCAATCGAATTCAACGTTCCGGTTATTGGTGAACCACCACCATCGAAGGAATGGAAACATAAAGAGGATGTATTATTCAACAACGATCGTGTCAAAATTGTAAACGAAGATTACAAAACAAGCATCAAGATCATCGACGCTAAGCGCTCTGATAGTGGACCATACACTTTGACAGTCAAGAACGCGAACGGACGAGATGAGGCGACAGTTAAAGTCACCGTCCTAGATGTACCAACACCTCCGGAAGGCCCACTGCGAGCAGACAATGTCACCAAGAATGCGATGACCTTACACTGGAAACCACCGAAAGATAACGGCGGCTCCGAGATATCTCATTACACCGTAGAAAAACTGGACACTGAAAACATGAGATGGGTGCCAGTCGGTGATGCAATAGGCACCTCTATGAGAGTTGATCATCTCACTGAAGGACACGACTATCAATTCAGAGTGAGAGCTTGCAATAAGGAAGGTGATTCAGCACCTCTCAACACTACCGAAGCCATAACTGCCAAAGATCCGTTCACTAGACCAGACAGGCCCGGAGTGCCGCAAGCGACAGATTGGGACAAAGACCACGTTGATCTGGAATGGGCCCCACCGAAGAAAGATGGCGGAGCACCAATCACCGAGTATATTGTCGAAAAGAGGCCAAGACACGGGTATGTATAGAATATGTCGCAGATATACGCACCATACTAACTAAATGTTAATTTGACAATCTCCTGAATAAATTGATAGGATGTGTGTAATTTGCCGTATATCTGAAACATACTTTGTTTGAATGATAACTGTGAGAGCATTTTTTTTTTCTAGAACTTGGGAAAGAGCCTGTGAAGTTCCCGGAAATACTAATAAAGCAACAGTACCTAATCTGGTAGAAGGAGAGGAGTACGAATTCAGAGTTATTGCCGTTAACAAGGGTGGACATAGTGAACCAAGTGAAGCCAGTCTGCCAGTGTTAGCTAAGCCGAGGTTCCAAGCACCGATGTTCAATAAGAACCTTCTGGAAGATATCACAGTTAGGGTTGGCAAACGCTTTGGTTGGACAATTCCAATAGAGGCATCGCCAAAACCAACCGCTAAGTGGACTCTGAACGGCAAGGAGATTAGAAGCGATGAGAGAATCGACATGGCTGTTTACAACAACAAAGTGTCCTTTGATATCTCATCAGCTTTGCGTTCTGATGCCGGAAGATATTCCCTTACTCTCACCAACGATTTGGGTAGTTTTACGGCATCAGCTCAAGTGACCGTGTTAGACAAACCTAGTCCGCCACAGCCGCCCCTGGATGTCAGTAGCGTCACAAAAGATAGTGCCAGGCTCTCCTGGAAAATACCTTTGGACGATGGCGGTTCTCCTATTTTGCATTACATCGTCGAAAAAATGGATGTGTCACGTGGTACCTGGTCCGATGCAGGAATGGCCACAATCACATCGCATGACATCACCAGATTGATTCACCGCAAAGAGTACTACTTCAGAGTGAAGGCTGTCAATATCGTCGGAGAATCAGAGCCACTAGAAACACCTAGAAGTATCATCGCTAAGAACGAATTTGGTATGTCATTATTGCTGTAATTGCCTAAGAGCAATTACTATTCATATTTATTTCAGATGAGCCAAGTGCTCCTGGTAAACCTGCCGTCACCGATTGGGACAAGGATCATGTAGATTTGGAATGGACTCCACCTAAGAGCGATGGTGGTTCCCCTATTACTGGATATATCATCCAGAAGAAGGAAAAGGGCAGTCCATACTGGACAAATGCTGCACATGTACCATCTACTAAAAATAAGGCGACCGTTCCAGACCTTACAGAAGGCCAAGAATACGAATTCAGAGTGATAGCAACGAATCCTGCTGGTCAGAGCGAACCTTCTGAACCATCTGATTTGGTAACAGCCAAGGCTAGATTCAGTGAGTACTGCCACTTACCACTATATCTTCTCCATTCAACGGTGAATTTTAAATTGAACATTCGTGAAGACATGTCATCTGAAACAAATGAAAATATATTTTCGTTTCATTTTCTAGTGCCTCCTAAGATAAAATCACCACTCAATGATATTCGTATCAAGGCAGGACTGATTCTTCACATAGATATCGACTTCATTGGAGAACCATGTCCAGAAGTATCATGGACTATTGGCAGTAAACCATTGTCAGCTGATGAACGTACTACTGTTACCTCTATCGGTTATCACACTACAATACATACTGTGAATGCTAAGCGTTCTGACAGTGGTTTGTATCATATATTACTCAAAAATAGTTCGGGAATTGATGAAGGGTCATTCCAAGTGACTGTATTAGGTAAGCTTAAAATTCCTTGCATGTTCATATTATCATGTGTTTTCGACTATGTTTCGTTATTATCAGGATAAATCATTAGACATTTTCATGATTTTTTTTGTTTGCAACTATCAAATATTGACTTTATTGGATTTATATTATAGATCGTCCTGGACCACCACAGAGACCTATTGAATATGAGGAAGTAACAGCTCAAAGCGTAACTTTGTCATGGAAACCACCTAAAGATAATGGTGGTAGCGAAATAACGTGGGTTCAAATGAAACATTTACTTCCGTAACAGTTAATATAATATCGGATTTTTGTAGTGGATATGTAATTGAGAAGAGAGATTTGACACATGGCGGTGGTTGGGTACCTGCTGTGAACTACGTTAATCCCAAGTACACGCATTCAGTAGTCCCAAGGTTATTAGAAGGCACAAAATATGAATTCAGAGTATTCGCAGAAAATCTACAAGGACGCTCTGATCCTCTAGATACCGAGAGACCAATTGTGGCAAAGAACCAATATGGTATGAGACAAATCGCCATTATCCCACTAACGCAAATTAACTGAATCACCATCTTTCAGATGTTCCTGGCAAACCTGGCAAACCAGAACTTGTCGATAGTGACAAAGATCACATCAAAATCAAATGGACACCGCCAATTAGCAATGGCGGATCGCCCATAGTTGGTTACGATATTGAACGTAGGGACCGTGCTACCGGTAGATGGGTGAAAATAAATAAGGAACCCAACCGTAGTACGGAATACTATGACGATAGGGTCCAGGAAGGTCACCAATACGAATATAGGGTATCCGCCGTGAATGCTGCTGGACCTGGAAAACCGAGTGACACTTCAAGCGTCTTCACTGCCAAACCTATGAAAGGTAGCGTTAATAATAATTTTGTATTTTTTCTTGAATTGATCATACTAACATTATATGAAAATTAAAGGGCCTTACACTGATTGTTTATGGTACACAGATAATCATTTTCAAGGTTATATAATGATAGCTATTATAAAACCTTAAAAACGTTCATCAATGTTTCCGTTCCACAGAAAAACCAAAGTTGTGGCTTGATGGAATCATTGGGCGTAAAATTAAAGTCCGAGCAGGAGAGCCCATCAATATCAACATACCACTTTCTGGTGCCCCGGCACCGAAATGTGAATGGACCAAGAACAAAGTTAATGTACCTGAGTCGAACAGAGTATACGTAAGTGCCAAATACACTGTCAGACTTCGTTCGTCATTTCATGTTAATTGTAATTTTCCAGAGTGAAACAACAAGTGAAAACACAAGGCTTCGCGTCGAAGTCTCAAACAGAGACGATACAGGCACCTACACCATCCGTGCCTCTAACGAATATGGAACGGATGAAGCAGACATCGAGGTGATAGTAGTAGATAAACCTGGCATCCCAAGAGGCCCTCTACAATATACGGCAACAACCCAAGACACGATATCACTGTCTTGGAACCCACCTGAAGATGATGGTGGTGGCGATCTAACCGGATACATAGTGGAAGTCAGTGAATTTGGCACAGACAGCTGGAGACCATGTCCAGGATTCTGTCCTAGACCATCCTTCACAGCCCGCGGCTTGACAGAAGGAAAGAAATACGTGTTCAGAGTTCGCGCTGAAAATATTTATGGCGTTTCGGAACCGTTGGAAGGCAAGCCAGTTGTCGCTAAGAGCCCATTCGATCCACCAGGGGCTCCGAGCCAACCAGAGGTTACCGCTTACTCTGCTTCTTCTTGCTCTCTGAAATGGAACCCGCCAGTTTCTACAGGTGGAAAGCCTATCACAGGGTACTATGTCGAGAAACGTGAACGTGGAGGTGACTGGGTCAGGGTCAACAACTACCCAACTCCGAACACCCAGTATTCGGTTCCAGACCTGCGCGAAGGCAACAAATACGAGTTCCGCGTCACTGCTGTCAATGAAGCTGGTCCAGGCGAGCCCAGCAAACCCACTGAGCCCATCATTGCCCAACATCAAAGGTTTAAGCCAGACGCTCCGGAACCGCCAAAAGCAGACAGAATCACCAAAGACAGTGTCACCCTATCGTGGAGGCCCCCGAGAAGCGATGGCGGATCTAAAATCAAGGGATACATCCTACAAAAACGCCCTGTCGGTACCGACAATTGGACTGATGTGAACAGTACTCCAGTCAATGATACCGTCTACACAGTACCGAATCTGAAGGAAGGTGAAACTTACCAATTCAGGCTCGTGGCTGTCAATGACGTCGGAAGATCTGAACCAAGCAGACCTAGCAGTAACATCAAGGTTGAAGAACAAGCAAACAAACCTTGCATGGATTTGGGAGGCGTTCGTGATATCACAGTGAAGGCTGGTGAAGATTTCAGTATTCATGTACCGTATGTCGGATTCCCCAAGCCGACTGCTTCGTGGTTCGCCAATGACAGACAACTCGACGAATCTGATGGAAGGGTATTTCCGCAACTCGCAGACGATTATGCAAGTATCATTGTAAAGAACTCGAAACGCAACGACAGCGGACAGTACAGATTGCAACTTAGAAATCCATCTGGATTCGATACCGCTACTATAAACGTCAGGGTCTTAGATAGACCAGGAAAACCTGAGAATCTCAGAGCAGACGAATTCGCTGGCGATTCACTAACCCTCTACTGGCAACCACCAAGGGACAATGGCGGTGCGGACATCACCAATTATATCATAGAAAAGAAAGAAGCCAAATCTCAAACTTGGTCTAAAGTCAGCAGTTACGTTACTGTGCCGTTCGTTAGGATTCGTAACCTAACACTCGGCAAAGATTATGACTTCAGAGTGATCGCAGAAAACCAGTATGGACAATCCGAGCCAGCAGTAACCAGCGAACCGATCCGTGCTAGACATCCATTCGATCCTCCGGGTGCTCCAGGGGTTCCGAGAGGCATCGAAACCACCGAAGATTCCATCACGATCACTTGGGGTAAACCACGTCACGATGGTGGTTCACCTATTACAGGTTATGTAGTAGAAAAGCGTCTGATCACCGAAGATAAATGGACCAAGGCGACTCACGCCCAAGTTCCGGATCTAACTCTGAAGGTCATCAACTTGATCGAGAACCACGAATACGAATTCAGAGTAGCAGCTTTGAACGCAGCCGGACAGGGACCTTGGAGTTCCGCGTCCGATGCTATTTGCGCGAGAGCAGCGCCATCTGCTCCTAAGATCACTTCAGATCTGAGCATCAGAGATATGATTGTCATTGCTGGTGAAGAACTGAAGATCACAGTACCGTTCGTGGCGACACCGAAGCCTAGAGCTTCATGGGCAATCAACGGTGACGAAGTTATCTCAGATAGCAGAATCAAAATGGACACCACCGACATTGCTTCGGTATTCCACAATAAATCGGCCAAACGATCAGATACCGGCAGCTATACCATCAAACTCACGAACTCGGAAGGCTCAGACTCCGCATCCTGCAGAGTTCTTGTGGTGGACAGGCCTCTGGCTCCTCAGGGCCCACTAGATATATCCGATATAACACCTGATAACTGTTCATTGGCGTGGAGGCCACCAGCAGATGATGGTGGATCACCTATCACGAACTACATCGTTGAAAAATTAGACACCAACGGAATCTGGGTGAAAGTCAGTAGCTTCGTACGCAACACTCATTACGATGTTATGAGCTTAGAACCGAATAAAAAATACAGTTTCAGAGTGAGAGCCGAGAATCAATACGGCATCAGCGAACCATTAGAAAGTACTGAGCCGATAACTGCCAAATATCCATTCACAGTACCCGATGCACCAGGAGCACCGCGGGTCACAGACTGGGATACCTCAACGATCTATCTATCATGGGACCGACCATCAAACGATGGAGGTTCGCGTATTCAAGGTTACAAACTCGAATACCGTGACATCGCTCACGATACTCATTGGCAGAGTGCCAGCGATTATTTGATTAAAGAAACTCATTTCGATTTGTTCAATATGACCAGTGGACACGAATACGAGTTCAGGGTGAGGGCGAAAAACGCTGCTGGCTTTAGCAAACCGTCCGCCTCATCGTCTACCTTCAAACTCAAAGGTAAATTCAACGTTCCATCTGCTCCACGCAATCCCAAGGTCATCAACGTCGGTAAGGGTTACGTCGATCTCACTTGGGAGCCACCAACCAATGACGGTGGTTCGAGAATCACCGGTTACATTATCGAAAAACGAGAAATAGGATCGCCCCTGTGGACCAAGTGTAACGATTATAATGTTACAGACACTAGCTATACAGTTCTGAACCTGACTGACCGCTCGGAATACGAATTCAGAATTTATGCTGTCAATTCGGCTGGCAGAAGCGAAGCAAGTAACTGCACTACACCTGTCAAAGTATGCGAAATTCTGGGAGGTGAAAAACCGGAATGGTTGCGTCGTCTGAACAACACGTCTGCGCCGTTGACTAAATCAGTCACTCTGGAATGTGAAGCATACGGAAAACCAGAACCAGCCTTCAGGTGGATCAAGAACGGACGCGAGATCAAGATTGGAGGTAGATTCAGAACCGAAGTGAAAGGAGGAACAGCATTTTTACATATTTCTGATCTGCTGGACATCGATGAAGGCGATTACACTTGTGAGGCGAGCAATACCCTTGGATCTGTCACAACGACTGCACGTCTGAAGATAGGAAGTAAGTATTTTATAATATCAAAGGAATCTACTAAATATTCAATTAATATTTTAGCACCACCCAAAATCGACCGTCTACCAGGAGATTTGTATTTGGCTGAAGGAGACAACACCAAGATCAAAATTTACTATTCTGGAGATCAGCCACTCGACGTGACATTGACCAGGAACGGACAAATAATCGACGATACAACACATATAAGATTCACTGTGTTCGATGACTATATTATAATTTTTATCAAGGATATCACCAAGTTAGACGCTGGCGATTACAATTTGACTGTGAAGAATGACAGCGGAAGTGCTTCCGGAAGCTTCACTGTATACATCACCGGATTACCAGGTCCGCCAACTGGACCGCTGGAAACCACCGACATCACCAAACACACCTGCAGACTCGCTTGGAAGCCGCCTAGCTATGATGGTGGCCTCAGAGTAACACATTACGTCATCGAAAGAAAGGACGTTTCCGGAACACACTGGATAACGGTGTCTAGTTCCTGCAGAGAAACCAACTTCACCGTGCAAGGACTGACCGAAGGTCAAGAATACTTGTTCCGAGTGATGGCTGTGAATGACAATGGAATGGGTCCAGCTCTCGAAGGCGTCAACCCAGTCAAAGCTAGAGCTCCATTCGACCCACCGGGCCCACCTGGCATACCCAAAGTAACCCAAGTCGGAGGCGACTTCGTTAATCTCGAATGGACCAAGCCCGAAACCGACGGTGGTTCTCGTGTCCAAGGATACTGGATAGACAAGCGCGAAGCAGGCAGTCTAGCGTGGCAACGAGTCAACGTCTCCCTTTGCCTACCAACGCAAATCAATCTGTCGAATCTGATCGAAGGACGCAAGTACGAGTTCAGAGTATTTGCCCAAAATATAGCAGGCATTTCGGAACCATCCTCGGCTTCTTCGATTGTGGAGATCAAAGACCCACTTGCTGCAACTCCACCTGAGATCATAAAACCGTTGAAAGACGCTCAGTGTATTCAGAATCACAACGCTAAATTCGAATGTACGATCATCGGTAGCCCTGCTCCTCACATAACATGGTACAAGGGAGCGAGAGAAATCACGAATGGTTCCAGATACCACATTTACAGTGAAGGAGAAGTACACCATCTGGTTATCCACGATATCTTCGGTGAAGACGCCGATGAGTACGTGTGCAGGGCGGTTAACAAAGCTGGAGTAAAATCTACCCGTGCGGAACTGTTGATAATGAGTAAGTATCCCATATGTTCAATAAAAACGTCGACGAACACATTTTTCTGTTTCAGCTGCTCCTAAATTGAATATACCGCCACGTTTCCGTGACTCGGCATACTTCGACAAGGGAGAAAACGTCGTCATCAAAATTCCCTTCACCGGGTTCCCCAGGCCTAAGATTACGTGGGTGAGAGAAGGAGAAGTCATCGAATCTGGCGGCCATTACCACGTCGAGGTGAAGGACCGGCACGCCATTCTCACGATTCGCGATGCCAGCAAATTGGACAGCGGGCCGTACAGAATAACAGCCGAGAACCAGCTGGGACAAGATACTGCGATAATAAAGATTCAGATAGCAGATCGTCCAGATCCGCCTCGATTCCCTGCAGCTGACAACATCGGAACTGACTCCCTGGCTCTGTCGTGGAAAGCCCCTGTATGGGATGGCGGCAGCAACATAACAAATTACGTCGTTGAAAGGCGTGAACATCCTCTGACTACTTGGATAAGGGTTGGAAATACACGACTGACTACTATGGCTGTCAGCGGGCTTGCTCCCGGACATCAATACGAGTTCAGGATATTCGCTGAGAACATATACGGACGTTCTGACCCGTCGGACGTCAGCAACTTGATAGCTACCAAAGACACCAAGAAGAAACAAGTACAAAAGAGGAAATACGAAGTGGACGAGAACGGCAAAAAGATACGAGAATCGCACAAAGAGCCTATCAAAGACTACGACAACTACGTGTTCGATATTTACTCCAAGTTCGTTCCACAGCCAGTGGAAATCAAGGGCAGATCCGTGTACGATGACTACGATATTCTGGAAGAAATCGGAACGGGTGCCTTTGGAGTCGTCCATCGTTGTCGTGAAAGAAAAACCGGTAACATTTTCGCTGCGAAGTTCATTCCAGTGTCACATGCTATGGAAAAAGAGTTGATACGCAAAGAAATCGATATAATGAACCACCTGCACCATCCTAAGCTCATTAATTTACATGACGCCTTCGAAGACGACGATGAGATGGTCCTGATATACGAGTTCTTGTCAGGAGGCGAATTGTTCGAGAGAATCACCGCCGAAGGTTACCAGATGTCTGAAGCTGAAGTTATCAATTACATGAGGCAGATCTGCGAGGGCATCAAACACATGCACGAAAGGAATATCATCCACTTGGATATCAAACCTGAGAATATTATGTGTCAAACACGCAAGAGTACCAACATCAAACTGATAGACTTTGGACTAGCAACCAAACTAGATCCGAATGAAGTCGTGAAAATTTCTACGGGGACAGCTGAATTTGCTGCACCCGAGATTGTGGAAAGGGAACCGGTAGGGTTCTACACGGACATGTGGGCTGTGGGTGTTTTAGGTTATGTATTATTGAGTGGACTGTCTCCGTTTGCGGGAGAAAATGATATTGAAACTTTGAAGAATGTGAAAGCGTGCGATTGGGACTTTGACGAAGAGGCATTCGTTAACGTTTCGGAAGAAGGAAAGGACTTCATCCGTCGCTTGTTGATGAAAAATAAAGAGTAAGATATCGAGAGAATATAGCTGGTTTACATATTTAGAATGAAAAAATGTCATCATGTAATTTTCAGGAAAAGAATGACTGCTCAAGAATGTTTGTTACACGCATGGCTCAGTGGCGATCACAGTGATAGAACACAAGTGATCGACCGATCAAGATATATTCGCATGCGCGATAGGATACGAGCCAAATATGACGCATGGGATTCTTTCACCTTGCCGATTGGCAGGTTATCTGAATACTCCTCTTTGAGGAAACTGTTGATAGAGAAGTATAAAATACATGACGCCTACTTCGGTAATATATTCGAGAAAAAAATCTGTAGCTTTCTGTTAAACGTGTTTTCTTTCAGATCGAAGACAAGCTGCCCCAAGATTCGTGATCAAACCACAAAGCGCTTTCTGTTACGAAGGACAAAGTGTCAAATTCTATTGTAGGGTCATTGGAGTTGCCACTCCAACAGTCAGTTGGTATCACAACAACGTAGAATTGAGACAAAGTGTCAAATTCATGAAGAGGTACGCTGGTGATGACTATTACTTCATAATAAACAGGGCAAGGCTTCAAGACCGAGGAGAGTACATCATAAGAGCCGAAAATCATTACGGATCCAGAGAAGAAGTTGTTTTCCTGAACGTTCAACGTAAGTTACAGTTAATAATCTTCGAAGGTGAGTGCAATGAAAACTTGTTTTCTAGCTTTGCCGAGAGTGGTTCCAGAGTACAAACCAGAAGCTCAAGTGGTCAGACGAAGAGAACCTTTGCCGTATACCTTCTGGCAAGAAGAACAAGAATGCGCACCCAGTTTCACTTTCATGCTCAGACCTAGAGTCATGCAGGAGCGTGACACCTGTAAATTATTGTGTTGCTTGAGCGGCAAACCATTCCCTACTGTCAAATGGTACAAGGACAAACGTGAACTTAGTAAATACGAATATTCCATGTCGCACTCAGATGGTGTGATAACGATGGAGATCAGTGGATGCAGACCGATCGATTCTGGCAAATACACGTGTGTAGCTACGAACGTCCACGGACAAGATGAAACATCATGTGTAGTTATTGTCGAAGGTCAAACCACGACAGAAGAACAGACAGCCTTAGCGAACAAACTATTATATTCAGGCGACAGAAAATACATCGAACATCCCATAAAGCCAGCGCCAGTGCCGGTCACTATCAGAAAACAAGTTACATCTACTCCAAATCCCATTCAACCCAGAGCGAATAACCCTAGCATGAACAGTTTGGTACATTCTTCCTCCAACCTCAGTGTGGGAGACGGCGATAAGCGAACGCCCAGGAAATATGGAAGGTTAGATTCTACTGGGAGCCCAAACAGATCTAGAAGTGCTACCAAAGAATTAGCCCGTGAGTACTAATATTATAAAGAGCATGGGTGATATTCCATCTTTTTTTCTATTTTACATTTAAACTTATATATTTAATATTAGAAACATTTGAAGTAGTTGGTAACACTGATGATTTATTCGAATGTCCAACATTTCAGATTATTGCCTTACAATTTGATGTTAGCTCCCAAACTTGTAAAAATGAAAGGTCCTGCTTTCATCATTACTTCATTGAAGACGCAAAAGAGAAAAATGAAAAAAAAAATAATACCCACGGATGAACTGAGAACTCATCGATATGATTTAATTTCTAGTTCCTCCAGATGATTCCACGATGTGTAAGCCAGACTTCACGAAAACTCTGAGTGACCTCACTATAAATGACGGTGAGAGCTTAACTCTCACAGCGCATGTGAAAGGTGATCCTGATCCTCAAATCATCTGGAACAAGAATGGCAAACTACTCAGCTCGTCCGAAGTGATTGATCTCAAATACAAAAATGGAATAGCTAAGCTGCATATCAATGAAGTATATCCAGAGGACGAGGGAGAATATGTATGCAAAGCTACCAACTCAATTGGAACTGCTGAAACGAAGTGCAAACTAACAATAAAACGTAAGTTATAGAGGTACAGGGTGATTTAAGAGGTGGGGCATTTATTTCAACAGGATGAAGACCGCTGTAAAAAACTTCACAAGCGATAGATTTCACGTCAAAATAATAAGATTCCACGCCATAAAAAGTATTTTTACAAAAATCTGTCTATATAAAATTTACGAAATAAGAAAAATAGAAAACTTACCATTAGTCCTGTTAGAGCATAACAGCTGTCTGGTATCTCTGGCAAACGAATATTACCTATCCTCGCTGGAAGGAAATCTTGTTATCAATAACTATTTCGTGATTTCAGCTATGGCCAATGCCACGAATGGCCACAAGAAAAGTTCAGAAGACAAACCTCCTAGGATAGTGAGCCATCTCAAATCAGCCTTCGTGAACGACGGTGAATCCGTCACGCTGTCTTGCCGAGTGATAGGTTCGGACAAATTCGACGTGGTCTGGTTGCACAACAACAAGGAGATCAAACCGTCAAAAGATTTCCAGTACACAAACGAGACCAACATTTACAAATTGATCATAGCCGAGATATTCCCCGAGGATTCCGGCGCGTACACTTGTGAGGCTTTCAACGACGCCGGCGAAAGTTTCAGCAGCTGTACCCTCAACGTAATTGTTCCAGGGGAACAACCGAAGAGTCCAGTTTTCAAAACATTCCCGATTTCCGCCACGGTAAGTGCTATGACAGTACAGTAAACGTACCGCGAAAATGATCAGTTTTCTGCAACGGCACACAAAACGCACCTCATAACAATCCAGTTCTGAGCAATGATCCGTCAACAGATTTGTTTGAAATCGGTTGATAATGGACCTCTTATCCGAAATATTTTCTACAAGAAGCTCACACTACACTAATAACGTATTGGTATTGGTGGGCGTAATTGCTGGCAGATGCTCTGCGACCCTATCAGATCTATTGTGTCCCATCTTCTCCTGCTATCTCAAGGTTTTTATGTGTATAGCAGTCCCTCGAGGGGATTTTGAGGGAATCTTCTCGTGGTATTTCTTCCGAGCTCAACTGGCATGTGCTCCCAGTATATTCAATCTTTTGCCATGTACAGCATAACACTCCATCAAGATGTGCTGGGGCGGATAGCGATTTCCTTGTTCAGGCATTTTGTGTCGAGATTGAACTGAATGCACCTTCCTATGGCTTGAATTTCCGCTTGAAAAACGCTAGTGAATTGGCCCATCGGTTCAGAATATTTAGAGCGAGGCCCAAACACTCCTACTCCATTTCCCTCGGGTGTTTTAGACCCACCCGTCCGTATGCTTTCCCAGTGCTTGGATGGATTCTGTGCTCTATTCTCCCTGAATCCCTTACGCTATGTGCTTTCCCTTTGAGCCCGAACTTCTCCAACCTGAAATGTGCTCCCCAAGCAGTTCTCCCACTAGTAACGTAACATGGCTGGGACTGTGGTTCATACGTTGATCACTATTTTCTATCTTATCTCATGTATAACTGATGTTATTCCAGAAACTACGTCCACAAAGCTTGAATGAACTAAATGAATAATAGTGTTGCCTCTGGCTTTTACTTTTGCAATCAATAGTCAATACTTCTTCTCCAATCTGCAGAGACACTTATAAGATAATTCCAGCACCAGCAATTCAACCTGTTACGTTACTGGCAAGAGATTCTCGTTAGCAATATCACCATATAACAGTTCTATGAAGTTTATGTAATAGGTACATATGACATTGTTGACAAATTCAAAGATATTCAGAGTAGTCACCTGTAGCAGTGTTTCCAGTATAATTATTGATCCGATTTGACTTTCTGCTCATCAAAGTTTATTGTTTCTAGGTATCCGAAGGTGAATCGGCAACCTTCGTAGCAGAAACAGAGGACGACCCGCTGCAGATAAATTGGCTCAAAGATGGAAAACCAATCAAAGAGAGCAGCACGAAATACAATTTCACAGCAGACGGGAAACGTTACACCCTACAAATCCAGTCGTGCAATTCGAATGATATCGGACAGTACCAGGCCAAAGCCGTGGGCAGAAAAGGGGAAACTTTCGCGGCATTCTCAATGAACGTTGTACCAGCAGGCGAAATTTAAAGCTCTGACTCATTTGAAAACGCTGACTTTAACGAACGACTTGCTCCAAAAAAATTAATGTAACATATAGTTTAAAATAATATATTTTTAAGAGTTTTATATGAACATTTCATGAAGGACTGGTGCCAACTGAAAATTCACACTTTGTCATTGGCGTCCTCTACTTTCTCAACATCTCCGCAGTGACAAATTGAGAGTTCTCAGTGAACGCCAGCCCGAATGCTATTCAGTCGCATTGTTCAGCTATACTTAATTTGTACGAAAAGGAGCAGAACTGTCGACATCTTGATTTTACAGTATGGAAAGAGAAATTTCTTTTATTTTGGTGTGGAAGTGCTTCAGCCATTTTCTCCATCGCGCCATCATTATTCATTATTTGTCATTCAACGAACATTACTGCTTTTCCAAATGCACAAAGGCCCACTCTATATTGTACCATAAAATGTAAACAAGAAAAATATATAATTATTTTTTAATAACGTCTTTCATTTACCTCGATATTTGGATCCTCCGCTCTGCTCATTCCAATCCGAAATAAGACTATGATGATGTGAACAGTTGACATTTCAGATTAGATTTTCTACAAGAGGTTGAATCTTTAAAATTCCAATACCTACCTCTTCTCCCTATCCCCCCTAGTTACACAAAATGTTCTCCGAACATCATAGGGATTCCATTCCATTCGATGCGAACCGAGATAAAACACATGGAATTATCGACGGGACCTTGAGGGAAAATATTTTGGACCAGTGGACAGGAATATGAGAATATAACTTGATGGGAATACATCCAGATTTAGGTTCTCGTCTTTCCCTTCCAACAGAAATTTGTGGATCTGAGATCTCTGACCTGAGCAAGCGTCTGTTTAACGTATGCGCACTGTTCCCAAAGAATGAGTTTACAAAATGATTCATTATTTTCCAAAGAAATTAAGTGAGAGGATATCATTTCGTATGGAAGGTATTACAGATGATCAAAGCCACCAATTTTGGAAATATTTTATTCCAACATCCATCTTCCTTCGATAATAGGTCTAGAGATAATTATCTGGTAGATTAATACTTACAAAGTCTTAAATACAGCTATTTACAGAAAATAAATAAAAACAAAGTGTCATAGGACCACCGAGACTACTTTGACTTGAATCTTTGTATCTGCTTTCTAGGCGTCGGTTGTCTTTGCCGCGCTAAAAACGACTGACCTTGTCCTACGCCCAAAACGCTCAGTCTATCATCGATCGCTTCCCTATGACAATTCAGACTGAACTTGTAAAACGCTGTCGTCAACAACTTCTCTTCCAACTCCTTCAAATTCGACTGCTGAAAAGAAGAATCCGCTTCTCCGTTAGTTTTCAGTTCCAGCTGCTGCGCCACTTCCCTAGCTTTTTCTAAGCTTCTGTTGTACTTGGTCTGCAAAGTCTGCAGCTCGTTCTCCTTGGCAGCCAAGGTTTCATGCAAACCTTGGACTTTCTGCCTGTACTCCTTGACTATCGAGCTATTGGACGTCATCTGATTCTCGCCCTGTTGGAGCTTCAGTTCTTCCAGTTGTGCTTCCAGTTTTAGAGTGTTCTGGGTAAGGGTTCGGTTGGTTTGCTGTAACTTCTCTATCCTGTTCAACGAGCTGTCTAACTGCGTCTGTTTGGATTCCATTTCTTGTATGGAACTCTTCAGGGTGCGGTTCTCCTTTTCTAGGAATCTCAGTTTTTTCTCCATATCAGCAGGTGTCAGTTCCTGAGACACTGCTGCGCCGCTTTCTTCTTTTGGTACCAGTTTCAATTCATCGTTTTCTTCTCTTAGCGCGTCCCGTTCGAGAATCAGGCGTTCTTTTTCTCCTTGCAATGTCACTAGTTTCGACTTGAGTTTATCCAAATTGAACTGAGCTTTGTCCGCCTTTTGGGTTTCCTCGTCTATTTTTTGTTGCAAATTGACTATTTGACTCTTGTAGGCATCACATTGTGTCTTCCAGTTGCTGTTTTTCGACAGTTCCTCCTCCAACTCCATGTTTTTCTGTATGTATTCCATGTTTTTGTCTTCTAGTTTCTGCAAGTTCCTCTTTATGTCTTGGTAGTTTTCTAATCGTTTTTTGTATGACGCTAGCGCTGATTCTAAATCAAGGACTTTACCAGCTGATTCAGTGAGAGCATCTATCTCATCTTTCAATTTAGCTGACTCGTTTGCAGCTACCTGCAGTTCATTAATCTTCTCTTGATATGTCAACAACTGTTTCTCCTGTTCAAACAGTTTGGCTTTGAAGTCATCCCTTATAACTTCAGATTTAAAAAGCTCGTCCTTCAATGATTCAATTTGCTTTCTCACATTTTCCTGAGGGTTGCGTGCCTCTTTTTCCAAGAACACTCTATTCTGGTCTTGTATCGCCTTCTTTTCATCAGCTATAGCGAGCACTTGCTGTTCTAAATTCTGCACCTGTTGAGTCAATACTTCTTTGGCCTTGTTTGCCGCTTCTAAATCGTTCACGAGCTTGTTCACTCTGTTATCGCCGTCTATGATGAGAAGACTCAAACCGGATCTTCCTTGCCCTCCGTTTACTTCTTCGAGCTGCTGAATCGCTTGCATTATGTTCTGTTGCACTGATACTTCCATTTCCATGATCATCGTGATGTATTCTTGTTTTCTGTCACAATTTATTGCACATCCTGAAAGAATGAGAGTCCGTGCATTAGACTTTATAGCAGGAACGTTTGCAACACGGGAAACGTCACGATACAGAATGGACAAAACATAAGTACGACTGATATCAGATTTGCATTTTTTTCTTCATTTTAGTCTCAATTAACTATTTCTAACCCATGCGATCAGTTTGTTGAATATACATGTGATAGTCAGTGCCGGATTAGCCACGTAGCAAGAGTAGCAAATACTACGGGCCCCGCGCCCCACGCCTGTCCGGCCAAAATGGAAAAATATAATTAGGAGAACTACGAAATAGTCACAATGCTCACAGTGGAATGAAATGTTAAATAAATGTGAAAAGCTCACAGTCATTTCCACACAGTGTTCCTAAAATGAACAACAATGGTAGATTTCGGGAGAAAAACAACTACTTCCCTGGCTAATGCCACGCAGGATATTGAATTACATCCTCCCGAAATCTATGCATCGACTCGTTTAAACGAAAACTGATACAAGTGATTCTTTCCTGAATGCCTATTGATTTCGATTAAGCCAGGCCGCTAGACAACCACAGACCGGTTTCGAGCTCTTTGACTCTCATCAGTGCAGTGTAGTCTCCAGCCAGCAGTCCTAAAAGACCGCCGACTTAGCGAAGCCTAGCCAAACAAGAATCAAGTTGGCATTATATCTACCCCGAGGCGTCTTTCATCGATAAAATGAAAGTAACGCCATCTGAGTAGAACCGAGGAAAGAATCACTCCAAAACTGAAATTCCCATACGGGAGTGGCTGGCAGCCCGACTGGCGTAATATGAACTACGAAATAGCCACTTGTATCAGTATTCGTTTAAACGAGTCGATGCATAGATTTCGGGAGGATGTAATTCAATATCCTGCGTGGCATCAGCCAGGGAAGTAGTTGTTTTTCTCCCGAAATCTACCATTGTTGTTCATTTTATGAACACTGTGTGGAAATGACTGTGAGCTTTTCACATTTATATAATTAGGAGAAATATCTGGCATGCCTTGAACGCGAGTACAGATCTGACCGACTGTGAAGAATACCAGCAACAGACATCAAGACGAATCCAGCGGCTGTAGCCACACTCGACGACTTTATTGAAAATGAAACATCTGGACAACATCTTGAAGTTCAGGTGTTTATTGTCAAAAATCAAACACCTGGACAACGTTTTGAAGTTTAGGTGTTTATTGTCATTATTGATAACTTACTGTCTGTTTTAACTAAATGTATGAAAGCATATCATAAAATTACGAGTGTTTTTGGAGTATTTCGAGAGCTAAAATTTTTGACAACAAAAGAGATTTTGGAAAAATCCTCAATAATTGTCAGTGCTTTTTTTTTTTTTTTTTTATCGCTTGGAGCGCACGTAAGGGAATCCCTATAATGTTCAAAGAACATCGTGCGTTCCTAGGGAGGATAGGGATAGGAGGTAGGTATTGGATTTTTTTTGAACTTCTGGAGATTATATGTTGTTGGGAATACTTCCTCAGGCAATGAATTCCAGAGCCTAGCCGTTCTATGGATGAAGGAGTTTTGATAAAGTGCTGTTCGACATCTTTCGAGGTTGACAAAGATGATTTGGAAACCAGCCGAGGCGACCAATTAGTGCAGTTTGCTGACTTGCTGAAAGCGAATGTGGCTACTGTCATTCACAGCAACAAACCTCTGATGTTTGAAAGAATCGCTTGTGGTATAGAATGAAGTCATGTAGCTCATCATCTCTTTTTACTACTCAAAACATTTCATGGTACTCATTTCAATAGGATATGGAGAAATGTTGAGAAACCATATTAGATCCAGGATGATGTGTTATTTGAACTGGGACTGAATATAAAAATTCAGATCCAAGATGTAAGGGGTAGATGGCCAAACTTCAATCAGTAAATTTGAACATACATAATAACAGCGAAAGAAATTGAAGAAATGATAGAACTAATGTAAAAATGTGATTTATTTATCTAACGTCTAGCGACACCAATTCCATTTTGCTATGAGACTTCCGCATCCGCATAACGTTGACCACTCGGTGACCGTTTTGTACGTATTTTCGAAACAACTACGATAGCCAAGTGAGCTACGTACGTTGGAAAGGTCCCGGTTTCGAATTCCTACTCTACCTACCGTTTTTATTTATTTTGTATTTCCATCCTCCCTGCGAAAACTACTACTGTTGATGCCGATAGTGATTCGCAATTTCAATGATGTATCTTTCTAGGAAATGTTCATTGTTCGGAAGCCTCAAAGCCAAAGTGGAATTGATGTCGCTAGCCGCCTGAATTTAATTACACTCACAGCATTTTAGCTGTCTTCTGAATGATATGAGAACTAAGATGGTACTGTGAGTTTTTAGTTGTATAAGAAAAACTGAGAATCAGAGACTTATTTCAAACTGATGTTACAAGAACTTCACAAGCAATTGATGGGATTCTAACAGTCCATTCCAACTTAGAAGGCAGCATTGGCAATCATAAGGAATCGTTGACCTTCGCTTTGATTGGATGAAAGCAATATTACACCTGTCAAATATTATGACCTGTGACATGACCTAAAGGATGAAGTTTTTCTTTGTTGTATATGTCATATTATGTTTCAATAAATCCTGAAAATAAACACCATCTCAAAGTGAAATTTAATCTTAAAAATGGCGATGATTGAGAATTAGGCGCCATTATTTATTTCATCAGTGTAAAGCAAGGTGGATAGAATATCACAGACAGTGTTTTGTTTATCCCAAAACGCTTGACGCAGATTCCACAATAATGGCATATTAGTTCTCAGTTGTCCGCAAGATGGCGACCCTTTTAACAGATTTCTTTCAGAACAGAAAATGGGTCTTACACACCACTTGCACGAGAAATAATAATATCATAACATTCATAACATATCCTCAAATCAAATGAGATAAAATTTCAAAGTACGAAACCGAGGGGTAAATCTCCAGGAAAAATGTGTACACCAGACTTCCAATGAACAAAGACTTCCAAAGACTTCCAGAGACTACCAAAGACTTCCAGATACTTCCAAAGACTTCTAAAGACATCCAAAGACTTCCAAAAACATCCAAAGACTTCCAACGGAGTGTAAACCAGACTTCCAAGAAGATTTACCCCTAGTAGGAAACTGTAATTTTGGGGAATTTCAATTATCATCAGTTCTACCAACCTTTAATTCTGATTGAGATTTGGCCATCTAACGGGTAAAATGCGAGCTATATTGCGCGATATTCAAAAGAATCCTTCTGTCAAGTAGGCCGTAGGTCAAGAACTTTGACTGAAAAACAGTAGATGGGATTTGATAGGAGTTTCTACACCATCTACTGTTCATCCTGCTGGTGTAAAGATTCCTTCAAGGTTGACAAATAATCATCAATACTACCATACTTGTAGTGCTCCAGAGGCAGCGCCACGTAGGGAGTTTTTTTTTGGATTGCCGACCGGGGTCTCCAGAAGGTACCGTTTTTTATTGAAGACCAGGATCGACCCATCCAAGATCACATCGCCTGGGATTTTTGATGGTCGATGTGGTTAAAGGATATAAAATATAACCTCAAAACAACCAAATTACTGGAAAATTGTCAGAGACATGGCAAGGGTATCTACAGTCTGCGAAATGAATGAATCAAATTGCTTATAATTTAACAAAAATTACATCACTCTGTTAGATTCATTTAAGCAAAATATTTCTGATTGGCAGTTCAAAATTATTATTCCATCCACAAAATCTATCTTGAGTCATTCAATGACTGATAAAGAGATGATTCCAAATAATATATCTGATTTCTAGGATATCAGGATATGTGTTATGGCATGATTGAGCAGTGAAGTTACTGGTTTTAAATGATTTTGTCGTTTTTGTATACAAGGGACCAGTGGAAACCAATCATATCTATCATTGTGATCAGTCACATGACATTAATGACCGGTTGGTCAGGTTGGTCGGCAACCAAAAACGTCTTATATATATGTACTTCTTATTTGGAACATAATAGTATACCTTAATCAGCATTTGTCAAAAAGAAGCAATATTGAAGGAGGCCCTTGAAATTTATTTCCTTAAAACAGGTTAAATTTCGAGAAAAATTGTTTGTGGGACAACTTATAATCAAGAGTATCTAATGAATCCTTTTATCTTGATTGTGTGGAAAAAAATTAACATTATGAGAAAAAAATATATATATTTTGACATGTGTGGTTATTGAATGAAAATTGAGACACTTATTCTGCATGAAAACTTTTTTTTTTCTAATTTTTAAGAACACAAAACGTGATTTATTACTTTAAGAAGGTAGTTAGAAGAGAATGAAAGGAAACATTGTTTTGTATTTAAAACAAAAACAGCACATGTCTGTGAAAGGTGGGGTTTTTGTGAAATCCCCTATAATTAAACAATGCAAATCACCCTAACAACATGTGGTTTTTGCTAAAAATATTTGTAGGGATGAAGATATATGATATTTTTCAATACAATGTTACCAATAACTGGAATGTCAAATGTTGTTTCTGCAAGAAACCCTTTGCTTTTATAAACCAAAAAAAATCTAGCTTTTCAGAATTTGTGGATGATTTCCTATATTAGTGAAACATTCCTGTGGAAATTTTTGGGTTAGAAATAATAATAATGTTGAATAAACTAGGTATTAATTTGTCACCTTCAGTGTTGCAAAAATTCCAGTATAGTCAGAACAGTTAAATCATATTATTATTCAAATGCACACAATATTCTTCATCTTTAAAAAAAACAATGAGAATATTAGGTGCTATTGCACCTTTCTAAAGTAGTAATGTCATAATATCATTTGAATCCTGATAATCCAACAAATCACTCACCTAATATCAATTGCAGCAATTTTGCAAGTTCAATAGGATCATTACTCTCCCCTATTTTGCCAATATCAGGTCGTCCTATTCCCAATATTTGTGAATTGAGAACGTCCTGGTCATATTCCATCACAGCTTCTAGAATCTTTTTCAGATTACTTATCCTAAGGCGCCAGTTATTGGTTCCAACATCCCTCTTTATTTTGGACTCCAGTTTGCTGAAATGTTCGGGGGATATCTGAAGTAGAGCATCTAGCATTCCTACTCCATCACAAATTTCAGGTATAGATCTTGTTTTGTTGGGTGCAATTTTTTGCAACCATTTGGCAAGACTTTTACACATTTCTTCACTGGGGTCCATTTTGATTATTTTTGTAACACTAGAATTCAGAATGCTTGTTTCAGGTTCTGGCAATGATAATTATTGTACTTCTTGATACTGCTATTCAGTAATTAAAGAAGTCAATAAAAAGTAAACAAAAATATAATAAATTAAATAATAATAATATAACCTGAAATCTGACAATATTTACATTTGACAGTGACACTAGTGACAGTGACAAAAAAGATTGCCAGTGTTGTCACTTCCAAATTTTGAATTGTACTAGATGGTCTTCCGAAACTGTACTAAATTGGATTTATTGAGCAGGGAAACCAAAGCCATTTTTCCTCGATCCTAATGAGACAAACTTGGTTAACTTTATGATAACGTCACGGTAACTTCACCATAACGTTACGGTCTACTTGTGGATCTTGACAGATGTCAGTTTATCAGCTGTTTGTTCATTGTTCGGTTTTAGTAGTAGATCTCTGGTAGTAGTACTCAAATATTGAATGAGAAATTCATCATCTATTATAAAAATATATTGATATTATTATAGGTATATGGGAACTAGGTACTTACCTACTTCAAATTCGAGAAAATTCGCTTCGTGCATATTCACAGTGAATCAAATATTCATTGAAAAGGAATATTCTCAGATATAATTATGTACACAAAAAAATTGACTCGCATTCTCCACGTGATGTGAATATTAATTATTTATCAGTTCATTCAACAGAAAACAACTACTTTCCTGGCTATATGCCACGACGAACATTGAATTATATCTATTGATGAGAATTTGAAAACAAAATCTTTTGAAGTAGAGAATTTGCATTCTCCTTCATATAAAGATATGCACATTATGGTATTTTGAATATCCAACAGGACGCAACTACTTTCCTGGCTATTTGCCACGTCGAACATTGAATTAAATCTGTTGAAAAGCGGTAGATTCACTGTCACCAGAAAGACAGTGGATTTTCTCTGGTAAGTTCGGTAAGTTTGAGTTGACGTTGACGTGTTTTAGTTTTCGGTTTGATTAATCGATTTACAAATTACAACGGAAAACATATTCCCATTTCAATTATTGCGTTAAGCTCTGATGAATTCATTTGCTGAGGTGAATTAATAATATTCGATATAATTTCAGTTTGATGACATTTTTTTCTATTTGGATACTACATCCTTGGCTTGTGCTCACTGTGCACAAGAATTAGGAACTTTTGGGTGCTATAATTGGAAATCAAATACTGGCAGAGCAAGATCTGATCGAAACTATAATTTGACGAATGATTGGCATTCCGTAAATAAACCACAACCGTAGTCACCAGTAGGTACCACTGTCAAGATTGTCGGTACTGGCCCTGGGGGGTCTATTCTCGAGATATTCGTATACGAGTTCGATCTTCTATTTCACTTCAATATAAGTCACATACATAAGTGCATCTTTCTTTATTCGTATACGAATTGAATTCGAACGGTTCGAGAATAGAGCCCCTCGGTCGATTAACGAAACATATCCCAAATGGGAGATTTTTGTCTTCGTTGTAAATCGAAGAATCAGATCTGAAACTAAAACGCCAACGTCAACTCAAACTCACCGAACTCGCCAGAGAAAATCGACGGTCGTTCTGGTGACAATGAATCTACTGCTTTTCAGCAACCGAGTTCCGTGAATAACCTCTTTTTCAGGAACCAACCGAACATTTCTTATTCACGAAACGGAAAACTACTAACCGAAATCTGCCGAAATAACCAAATTGATTAATGGAACATACCCTTGATGAAAATATCACAAGATAAATTGATACAAACGACAAGTGACACAAAACTATCCTAAAGCACCAAACAAAGATTATCAGACGAAAGTCAGCAGGACCGTCATGAATCACATGTCAATTTTAACTTCCACTTTTTCGTACTAGATTATCATGAATTGTGCTGACGTATTAACAAGAAGAATAATACTAAAACCGGCTACTCTAGTGACACAGCTGAACTGATGAATTCTATACAGATGATCTTAAACTGAAAATGATGAAAAATGCGAGTAACCAATGTTGGTTCAAATTTCTAAAGGAGTGTTCAATTTAGCACAGTCGGTTATGCGCTTTTTCGACAAAATTGAACGTGAAATTCCACATATTCGAAATAATCGAAATTTATTCAGTGGCGCAGCGATTATGAATGAAAACTATTACTAGTAGTGTCAAAAATTGAGGATTTTGATTACGTCATTGAACTTTGAAAAGTTACTAGACCGCTTGTCTAGTTTATCTTATCTTGTGACTGAACACTTTCTCAAAAGATATTATGCAAAACAGCAGTGGGACTCTGTAACTCAAAGCGAAAGCGAAAGCATGCGTAATCGACTGCTTTTGCCGTTTCGGTACTCTGTATCAATATTCGGATGAGGTCGGAGACGCCGAACGTGAGTTCGTAAGCGAAGCAGAAGCGAAGGATTTTGGTTGTCGCTTTCTGCGATTCTCAACATTTGAGGTTATAGGTATTGGTTTTTGTTGTTGTTCCTAGTTCGAACTTTGTGTTGATTTGAGAAGAATAATAGATTAATAAATGAGGAATGAGCCCAAACATGGATAACAAAGCGAGCAAAAACACAACTCAGTCAGTGGGACAGATTCCTCAGTCTTTTGAACAAAATCCTAAAGATATTCCAGAGAGATGGAAGTTCCCTTTGGTAGGATTAAGGTAGGGGATGAAAGAACGTGAGACGTGAGATAAAAAATATGATGGACAGTGTGATGAAAACATACAGCTCATTTGGTAGTTGAAAAATAAACTGAAAACTGTCATTAGTGCTGTTGAATAGGGTCTGGAATAATTCATATTCATTCGAATTATCCTTCTCTTTTAGATTCCTGATACATCAAAACAGGCAGATATAAGTAGCTTCTCCAAAAAATGAAATGTGCCATTACTGAATGTTGTCTCACTGAATCCTTGTTAAGAAAAATATGTCTTTGGTGTGAGTCCATTGAAGAAGACAGTGATAGGTAATTAAAGAATCCTACTAATATAATATGCCCATATGATTATTAATACGTATATGGCCGATACCTACAACAGTGAAACATAACAGGAAGCCTGGAACGTTCAAATTTGAAAAATTTGCATAATAAGTGCATTGGAAGGGAAAATAATTTGGATAGCAAAAACCTTGGAGACACCCAAGAAGAACTGTGTAATATTACTGTGTAGGTACCAATAAGGGAGAATCAAGAGTAAATTCCATGAAACAGGATTAACTGAACATTATTTACTATGTTGAACAAGAACAAGAACGGATTCTACTTTCACTACATTAATAATTCCATCCAAGATTCTAAAGTGAACTGTAAGAAAAAGTGCATCTGTATAAATGCACTGTCAACATATAGCTGCCTTGCAGAAGGCGATTCAAGGAATTATATGTGCTTATCATCTTGTTTGATATGCAACATAGAGAAGCAAGTTCTTATAGGTATTACATTATAGTATGTAAATAATAATATACTGAGTGTTAGATTATAGAATGATATGTCCATTATAAATATAAGCAGTTACATATCTTACAATATTATTGTTATTCTCAGATCATTTGCCTTTACTAGTTGCATTTAAATAGAAAGCTATACCTGAGATATACCTAGTGAGAATATAAATACCAATTTTTTATATGAACAAATTAGGTACATATTTTCCAATGAGCTGCTCTGTGCAGAATAAGTTCTTGTTTGGCTGATTACTATTTTTGTTGGCGTTGATGTCAATATCTGTTTGTAGTCAATACATTCATTCCAATTCATAGAAATAAATCATCTTCATATGTGTTTTTGATGTTTTATTGAATTTCTTTTCTCTCGGAAACTTCTCCAAGTGCTTTATTTCTGATTGAAACCAAAAATTAAAAATACAATAATTCGTAAATGCCGCTTTTTTGATCCAATGGGATGTTTCCTTTGAATAAATGGGATCCGCAACACTGTTGCCAAATTTGACTCCACCAACTTCGTTCTATTTCGTATGAAATCGTATGACGATAGCGAAAGCATAACGAACTACATATAGAGTACCGGAAAGCGAAGTCGTATACTTCGCTTCGTTTCGCTTTCGCTACGCTTTCGCTATGCGACACAAGTTACAGAGTCCCACTGCAGGAACCTCAAACTATCGATCATTTGAAAAATCCTGAATATCGACCCCATGCTGTACTGAACCGCTTCGCTTACGAACTCACGTTCGGCGTCTCCGACCTCATCCGAATATTGGTACAGAGTACCGAAACGGCAAAAGCAGTCGATTACGCATGCTTTCGCTTTCGCTTTGAGTTACAGAGTCCCACTGCAGCACAACACAGATATCTAGATCGATCGATATGTCGAATCTCCATTTCTCCTCAGCTGGCTCATTTGCCTGGCGATAATTCAAATCAACATGAGTTGGTTCAGAGGTAAATTCTAGGCCGATCTGGAAGGTTTGAAAGTGCGCGTTAACGCACATAAGAATCTTCATTTCCTGTGTAGGGTGTTTTTCTGAATGCGCCAATCCCATAGTAATAATTTGTTAAAAGTAGATTTAGATTATGTATCTGCAAGTTCTGAATTCATCGTCATGACTGATATCGTTGTGATTGGTCTAGAATTTGCCAATGAATCAACTCGTGTGGATTTGAATTCTCATATCTTCCTTTTCCCAAGATGTTCTCCTTCTTAACACTCTCGGTCTCTGTTCAACTCCTTATATTACAATGAACTCAATATATTACTTGCGGAACTGTATTATCAAAATAGCTCTTTCTCTGTTCAATTTGTTTGATCTTCAACTTCAAACTTCAATTTCAATAGACAACAATTCCAAACCCAAAATTCCGGTTCAATAACTGAACGTAGTAGTTATTAATAGTAGTGACATTTTTTATTTTGATCAACAGAAATTCCTATCTGCTCCTTATCATTTGAGATGATCGATCAAAATTAATAAATAAATTGTTTATTTTAGGCCCTGAATTATTTGTTCCCATGAATCTTTAATGTTATGTGATAAAAATACACTTTAAGGTTAGTTGGGTTGCCTATTCTCGATTTCAGCTCTTTTAATGTTTTTTCTTATAGTAAAAAATAAATATGGAAGACTATTTCGAAGGGTTTTCGGAAGAAATTACGAGATGGGAAATCATTAAGGAAATGATTGACCTAGATCTAGGTAGGCCCTGGTTTTCATTTATTAAACAAAATATTGCATTGCTGTTATTTTCATTTGTTTCTATAATTTGATAATCATTTCAAGGAAAGTACACACACCAAATTATTGTACCTACTTATTTGAATTGATTATTGCAGATGATGAATTTAACACTGAGCACAAATTGGTTCAGGGTGTTCAGCTCCTTCCAAGACAAGATGTTATTCTTTATGGGACTATTCCAAAAATTGAAAAAAGAATCTATACTAAATGTAAAGAATGTAGACTAGTTTTTAACCCTAGAGATATTTCATCACACAAAACATGCCCTGGAAAATCCCATTCCTCCTCACATGGCTTGGAAAAGAAAATCAAAAGCAAGGGAGGTAGTAGCAAAAAGTCCCATTCTAGTCTACCTCCACCTCCACTTTTCAAGGTAACTTTTATTATCATATTATTTTAGTTCATAAATATTTCAATGAAATAATAAAGCTGGATTTATGCACGACGCTTTTTCGTTACTCTTTCATTTCATAATCATCAACGTTTTCACTAACTTGTTGAAACATTGGTTAACAATATAACCATTTATACATCAAATTTGTCATTAATCTTTCATTAACTATTCGCTAAAAGATGACCAACTTTTATCTCTTAACGACAAATACAAATAAAACTGACTTGCGCAGGCGCGATTCTGTCAGAAGTCAGACAAACAATTTCTTCCTCTTCTTTTGCCAAAATGTGTTTGAAAATTCTGAAAATTCTAGTCGTATGTTCAAATTAGACTTTGAAAACAATATGAATGATTGATTTTTATTGTAATTATGTGATCACTGAAGGTTCTAACACAAATATTTTCATCGGGCTATGTACGATGACGACTATGTTTTGACCAAGAAGAAGACATCAAAATTTAAAAGTGGTGGTGCATAAAGGTATCATAGTCCTTAAATGAAAATAAACTTAATGACAATTAATGAAAGCAACAGATAAATGAAAAAGCGTTGTGCATAAATCCACCTTAAGTAATCAACAAATCTAATCAGTAGTTGAATAAAGAGTGCTCATTATTGATTTTATTAAGTCTTCTGATTCTTTGCCAACTTTAGGATTTGGTGAGAGGTGGTATTAGAAATAATTAAAACTTCATATTTTTAAACCACAGAAACTATATAAATTCATTAATGATGTAGAAAAATGATAATTTCAATAATGGGGTTTATTTTAGATATAAATTGTATGGACTTTAGGTTTCAGAAATTCATATTTGTAGAGTTGACATAATTTAGATTTGACTAGTGATGTGTGGTGGGTATTTACCCAGTAGCTGAGTATTTATAAATTGGGTATTCACCCAGTTATTTACCCTCAGGATAAATACCCACCTAAAAGTAGGAATTTATCCTAAGGGTATTTATTTAAGTTAGTACCTTCTAAGTTGTTATTTGTATTTGTTCCTCACATGAAGAATAGAATAGGTTTTTTATTTTTCAAGTTATACATTATTTTATTGTTCCTTACACAAAACTCACAAGAGAAAACTGAAAGAGTCAGTTTTTTTTTGTTTTTCAAGTTCCTTGTTCCTCTGACATAAAATAGGAGTAAGTTTTTTTTATGAATAAGTTTTATTTTGTTTTTTGAGTGGGTAGTTTTTTTCAATACATATTTTCTTGTTCATTGTAGTTTTTTGTCAAGGGTGTCATTTGAGGTGTAATTTCTGTAGTATTTACCCTCTATCATAAATACCCTGGTACCACCCATCACTAGATTTGATAGTCTTATATAGGCAGGTATAGTATGTCTTTGTATAAGCAATTTAGCAATGAGGAATTTTTGATACCTAATATTATCATTTGATAGAAGACATATTTGGAGTTATTACAGTTATTTTGGCTGGCAAAGAGGTACTTGTTGGTCCTAAGAATAGGTAGTTTAGCCTAATGGAGCTAAATTTATTCAAGAACAAATGAAAACCTTCAACTTGATCCTGTCCTAGAACAGAATCATAATTTGAAAAAACATTTTTATTCTACTTCCAAAGGATAATTGAATGACAAGAGTAAACAGAAATAAAGTTGAAATGAAGTTATTTTTTTGTTTAACATTTTATAGGTGTAGATTTTCTAACTTTGCTTGTATGCTATATTGCATTACTTGTCTTCACAAAGATAATGTAATGATACAAAGGAAATATTTGTTGCTGTTATTAGTAGACTCCACAGGGTGATCTTAATTTTTTTTCAAAGCATGGAATTATTCCTACATGAGCTGGTATTCATGTACAACTAAACTTGAAATAGGAATGAGTAGCATGGTTAGGTTCCTAGAGATTAAAATCCTACAAGTCATAGAAAATAACATCCAGATCAGACTAAGGATTAGGGAATAGCTATTTGTATTACGAGGAAGGAAAGTGTTGCTTTTCCCCCATGGTATACATATGATTTTTCCGCCTTCCTCAAATAAGAAGTCATTTTTGAATGATTTATTTATGAAATTTAGGAACAAAATTTATTGAAGTACTAAAACTAAGAACTAGGTACAGTATAATGAGCACATTATTTTCATACTTTTAATTTGTGTTAGAGTAATTAGAACAGATACAGGCTGATCAGAATTATGAATATTGAACCACCCTGTTTCTGTTCCAATGGTAAATCAAAATTAAGATAGGGACATGTAAGTCGTATTGACCAATAATGAATAACTTCGGCCCTCAGCTCTTCCTGAAGAATCTAAAAATGCAATGGTATACAGGGTATTCCATTTGAAAAAAAGCAACTTTGATACATTTCGTGTCTTTGGCACACCCTGTACAACATGAAAATATTTAGGATAGGTCCCTATTTATAAAAAAAAAACTGTCAAAAAAAAACGAATACTTAAGCCATAATGCTTCCTGTTGAATATCGTGAATAACCCTGTATAATCGAATATAGTTTAGGTCGTCAAAGCCGTATGAGTTATCTCATTGATGAAGTACCATGACGTCACTTTCACTTTTCCTCCCTAGGGAGGAAAAGTACGACTTTGCTCCCTACAATGAGGCCAGGAAATGTATACTTTGGATAGAGGTAGGCGGAAAAATAATTTCTAATTTATAGTGATTTTTTGCGGATGCCTCAATTTGGCTGATCAGTGTATGCAGGGCGTTTTCAAAGGCAGGAACTTGAACTCATCAACATGAACCATTTCACCAGAATCGCCTATTCAAAAGTTGTAAAATAAGGGATCTGGCGTGTAATGTCTCTTCCTGTATATAAATTTATGGGGTTTGGATAGAAAGATTCAAATATCGGATATCCACAGATATATTATCAATAACCATACAAACTGAACTATTTCAGATCGTATTTTGCCAGAACCAAAAACATCACAAATTCATTTATATCTAAATGGAACTAGAATGGATGTATGAATAAATGAATGATTATGAAACTGAACCTCGGTGGTAACAATTAATGGATTAACTATAAAATATCGCAAATGAATGATCAACAAATCAGTTGATTATATGATGACAATATCATCATTATCAACAGAAATAATAATTAATAATCATGAACTGTAGCATATGTAGCATAGTCTGTTTTCCATATTGGTCGTGAAGCACAAGAAAAAGGTCACTATTACTGAGTTTCACACTCCCTCAAAAGCAGTTGATTAAAACTTGGAACAATCTTACCATGAAGTTGAAGTAGGTACCTATTGATTCAAAAGGGTAGTTGATGGTTGGGCAAACGAACTGTTCAATATAGCTGTCTTCTGCAGCAGAGAATCCCTCTCACAGATTCTATTTAGCCAAATGGAACGATGCAGGGATTTCTGATAGATATCAGATTCAGAAATTACAACCACGCCGTTTGCTGTAAATCGAATATAATTGAAATATGGGCACACGTTACATGAAAACTTATGTTCCTTACCGTGGTTGTTGCCTTTTAATATTAATTTGAAATATATTCTTTCTATAATTCTGACTGATGTCAGAGTCAAAATTATTTATATTTTTATTTCATTTTTTTATTCGTTGTCACGTTCATGGCAATGTACCATGTGTGCCATCTTGAATTGGTCCGTCTAAAGAAGATTCAGTAATCAAATGTGATTCAGGAACACAAAAAGTTTCAATTTTTGTCTTCTCGAAAACGGTACTCACGTGGTGATTCCAAAAGAAATCCACCTTACCACCTTGTTTTGGAAAACACCTTCAAGTTTTGAATTCGATGATTAGGGGCGAGTGGACATTTTTTTTTATTTCTTGAATAGAATCATCACTCAAATATCTTTCAATTTCATATTTTTCTAGAATTTTTCAATTTTCGGTCGATTTTTAGGTGCTAAAATCATCAATAAGCCACGGTAATTTTCAAACGGCTAGAAATTTACCGCCAGTGAAAACTGACGCCATGATTTTGTAAGTAGGGGCAGACCATAGCACAGTTTTCATGTGTTGAAATACGATTGAGAACTACAGAAATATTAGTTATTCAATAATTCATAAATTTTCAATTGAGTATTGGTAATATTCCTAATTAGCAATAAAAATTCAATTGTTCCAAAATGTTTCCTTATGACTGTGGCTTATTGCTTATAATATATTTTACTACACTGTTTTACCACTAACCAAACCGATTTTTTAACGCCTCGACACGTGTTTCGCTAACTATGTTAGCATCTTCAGGAGAAGATTAAAACTAAATATCCTATTCTAGTGTGCTGCTAATATACTAGGTATATGTTCACCCAACTGTGAAAAATACTATCCGTCAAGTTAATGTTTGTCATGGTTGAGTTCACATGTTAATCTTAATTTTTATTTCACTAAACTATATAGAGGGCTATATGGAATAGGTCCATTATCCTTATTCATTACTCTATTACTATTCTTAAATATCTTCAAGCTTTCATATGCGTCTAGTTTTCTAATGTTATTGACTTGCTTAACTAATTTGAGGTTAGTAATAACAACTAGTTAATAACAATCAAATCTTTCCACTTGATAATTTTAGTTTAAAAGTATAGATTATCATATGTTTTAGTGTTTTTTCAACATTTCCGGAGATCCTATCTATAAAGTATTACATATTAGTTTGAAGGAAAAATAACGAATTCAAGGATATAGTGAAATTCAAGGTGTTTCGTTGAAAAATATATAACTTTGTGTCGTATCTCCAAAACTAGACCCCGAAAAAAATTTTTGATCATGCCAATGAATTCTGCGCAAATTTCTCTGTTAGATATAGTTCTCAGCGCAACATTATTCGTTATAACCTCGTAGATATAGAAAGGGGTCCAAAAAGTATGAATTTTCAAAATCGACCTGCATCTCATAAACGGAAACAGATATACACTACACTGTTTTACCACTAACCAAACCGATTTTTCAAACGCCTCGACACGTGTTTCGTTAACTATGTCAGCATCTTTGAG